ACAAAAAATACACTGAGATACAAACATAATAATATAAAATTAAAATTAACAGTATAAAATAAGTAAATAAAGAATATAGGAGGAGAAAAGAGAAGGAAGAAGAAGTTGCTCTGGCCAGATCATATATTTTAACAATTAAAATGATGTTTAAATAAAAAGGTCTTTACCTGGCGCCGAAAAACCAGTAATGACGGTGCCAGGCGGACCTCTTTGGGGAGTGAGTTCCATAGGTTGGGCGCCACCGCAGAGAAAGCCGTCCTCCGAGTACTTACTCTCCTAATTTCTTTCATGGAGGGTTCCCGGAGAAGGGACTCTCCCGCAGATCTCAAGGGGCGGTCGGGCATATACGGACGTAAGCGCTCGTTCAGGTAGCCAGGACCCAAGCCGTTTAGGGCTTTGTAGGTCATAATCAACACCTTGAATTGGGCCCGGGCTTCAATGGGAAGCCAGTGGAGCTGACAGAGGACTGGAGTCATGTGTACATCACGCCCCGTCCCCGTCAGCAGCCTGGCAGCTCTATTTTGCACCAATTGAAGTGTTCGGACCGTCTTCAAGGGTAGCCCCACGTAGAGCGCGTTACAGAAGTCAAGGCGGGAAGTCACCAGTGTGTGTGTCACCGTCATCAGGCAGTTGTACTCCAGGTAGGGGCGCAGCTGATTAATCAGCTGAAGCTGAAGGAAGGCGCTCCTCGCCACCACTGTCACCTGAGCTTCCAAAGAAAGCTCAGGGTTGAGGAGCACTCCCAGGCTGCGGACCTTGTCCCTAAGAGGGAGTGCAACCCCATTCAGGACCAGGTCAAATCCACCCTCTCCGAAGCCCAATCCGCCAACCAACAGGACCTCCGTCTTGTCTGGATTGAGCTTCAGTTTATTGGCTCTCATCCAACCCATAACCTTGGCCAAGCACCGGTTCAGCACAGCCACTGCCTCACCTGGATTAGTGGAAAACGAGAGGTAAAGCTGGGTATCATCAGCGTATTGATGATTCCGCAGCCCACACCTCCTGATGACCTCTCCCAGCGGTTTCATATTATGTACATACTGTGTTTTAAAGGGCCTTTTTGTCTTCATAAACTTAGAAATACAATAAACGTGCCTGGTCATATTAGCCCTCCTGTTTCCATACACACCCCCCCCAAGCCCCATTTTATAAGGGAAAGGGGGAGAGCTTTAGGCACATCTGTCAACGCTTAGCCATCTCTCATCTGTGTGGTGCTTTCAAGCTGGGATCCTGGAAACATGAGCCCGATGCTCCTCCTCTCTTTCAAACAAGTGAGACTTTGTTTTGATGCTGGCAACAGGCTTATTGCCATGGGCTTTAATGAGATCAGCATCTCACCCGAAGTGTCGCAACTTAATCACCTACACACATCTGGGGTTAAGCGAGCTTCCCAGTGACCCAGTTTATGTACGCAGTAGTGTCAAACAACAGCACTTCCTAATAAGTTAATTAGTGGGGACATGGGGGGTGTCGGGGCCATTCAGTCCAAATGGTGACAAGTGTTCGGAAACGGCATGAAATCCAGCGATGGCTTTTCAAAAAAGATTAGATGCATTAAGCAACAACAGTGCCTCTCTATGGAAGTCTTGCCTGCTTTGATGCCTTCTGGACTACCACTGCCATCAGCTGGGGCTGATGGGGGTTGTAGCCCAAAATACTTGGTGGGCGTTATGTTGGGGAAAGGCGTTCTCTACTAGAGCAATGAATGAATGTGTTGGCAGAACCCAGCCTTGTGCATGTGTGTGAATGTACAGTTGGGCATGAGGGGTATTTCCAAGCAGGAATCCCTGTGTCCTCCACTTCAGTCCAAACAATTGCCCCCTTCCTAGGGCTCACAGCAGCCGGGGAAGGGAAGGGCAAATTCTGCTCTCAGGGTGGATAAAGGCGCACCTGGTCTCCTCCCTCATGCATGATTGCAAGTGACATTCAGTCCTCCCATGTGACAAGAAGAAACACTTCAGGGCTACTAGAAGCAGGATTCTGTTCGCTTTTTCTAGTTTTGCTTACTGCAACAGGACTTTTCCAGGAAGTACAGAGGAAGCCTCCAAGAAGATGTTTTTCCCTATCGAACAGATGCTCGGAGGGCTGCCAGTTGGAGGAGAGAGTCCGGAGGAACATATTCTCCCTCCGTAATCCTCCCGCACGTCATCCTAATCCATGGCAGTTCTCTTGCTTTTCTCCTCACGTGGGAAAGCTCTTAAGGCTTTTCAGAGGGACCGACAGTAAACAAACTGAACAGGCTGGACAATTCTCATCCACAGGGCAGGAAAGGGGAAATGTGGCTCGCTCCAGACGGAGCTGAAAGTGTGTGTACAGGGAGAGTGTATTGCACACCTCAGTCCTTTTCCCAGGTGAATGAATATTGTAAGTGCATAAGGACAATGGGAAAACCCAAGCTGCGACACTGATTCAGCCTCAAGTCCAAGCCTGACACAGCTTTCCCTAAAGCAGGCATCTGAAACAGCACAGTAAGTTCCTTTATAATAATTTAGACAAGTTGCTTTTTCTATAGCTAAATGTGCATACTAGTCCCTGTAGAACTTGATCTTACTCGGCTTCACTTGGAAGGACGTTTGTTGTTATGTGCCGTCTCGTCGTCTCTGCCTTATGGTGATTCCCATGAAGGGAAGCCATCAGAATGACCTGTTCTGCTCAGTTCTTCCTCCTTTATGGATTCCATTTATCATGCAGCTGGACTTCCTTTTCTTCTTCTGCCTCTGACTTTCCCTGGCATGATTGTCTTCCCTGGTGAGTTTGCCTTCTCATGATGTGCCCGAAGTACGATAAGCTCCAGTTTTCTCATTTTTGCTTCTAGGAAAGCTCTGGTTTCATTTGATCTACAACCTACTTGTTTGTTTGCCTTTCTGTTGGTCCAGGGAGTTCAGAAAGCCCTTCTCTAGCACCACTGTTTGAGCACGAGGTGGCCACATAAAACAGGAAGCCAGAAAGGAAATTGGGAGCCGCAGGAAATCTCCAAGAGATTTGTGGTAGGTTGAAAAGCGTCTCCACCCCTTAGACACCTGAGCTTTAATGCAAGGACCACATTATATTTCTTGCATTTCAGGTCCTTCTAACTTGTTAGCAGTGAAGTTAGAAGTTAGCAGTGAAGATTTCCCTCCCACCTACTGTTAATTTCAATGTGTGTTTACAAATGCCTATATTCACAATCTAAGATCATGGCATCCAGTCCTCTCACTTCCTGGCAAATAGATGGGGAAGAAATGGAGGCAGTGACAGGTTTTATTTTCCTGGGCTCCAAGATCACTGCAGGCGGGGACTGCAGCCAAGAAATTAAAAGATGCTTGCTCCTGGGGAGGAAAGCTATGGCAAATCTAGACAGCATACCAAAAAGCAGAGACATCACCCTGCCAACAAAAGTGTGTATACTCGAGGCTATGGTTTTCCCAGTTGCACTGTATGGCTGTGAAAGTTGGACCATAAGGAAGGCTGAGCACCAAAGGATTGAGGCCTTTGACTTGTGGTGCTGGAGGAGACTCCTGCGAGTCCCTTGGATCGCAAGGCGATAAAACTGGTCAGTCCTAGAGGAGGTCAACCCTGACTGCTCTTTAGAAGGCCAGATCCTGAAGATGAAACTCAAATACTTTGGCCACCTAATGAGAAGGAAGGACTCCCTGGAGAAGAGCCTGATGCTGGGAACAATAGATGGCAAAAGAAGAAGGGGGCGGCAGAGGATGAGGTGGCTGGATGGAGTCACTGAAGCAGTTGACGTGAACTTAGGTGGACTCTGGGGGATGATGGAGGACAGGAAGGCCTGGAGGAATGTTGTCCATGGGGTCGTGATGGGTCAGACATGACTTTGCAACTAACAACAACTGCATATTCACAATCATATTTTATGCATCCGGTGAAGTGGGCATCAATTAATGGGAGATTATGCCACACAGAATTTGTTCAGGAATAAGCCTATGCATGTTTATACCAGAAAAATACAACTTCCTGTATTCCCCAACCAGCTATGCTGCTTCAACTACTGGAAAGTATAGGACTTCGGTCAATCAATCAACCACAGGGCATTTTGTGCATGAATGGGCATAGGATTGCATCCTTAATCTTTAAGGTGCCATAAGGTTCTTTGATTTAAAAAAAACAACTTAAACAGCTATTTACATGTAGAAGGCACAGTTGTTTTCATTCTTGGACTCTCTCACTCATTCAGGAACAGAAAACAGAAATTGCACAGCTGATTTTAAAATGGAAACTGCAAGAGAAATGTCATGCAACTAACAAAAGCAGATACAGAACTGGTGCAGGTTTTTACCCCATCTGCCAATGAGAAAACTTAGGGATCATGTGGCTAGATGAGACAGGGAGCCTACAAGCTGTCTTACCCCGGGTTCCCTATTTGCCTGTGTAGCTCATTAGGGTCAAGAATCTGGCCTCTGGCTAAAAGGGATCCGGTGGCCCTGGTCTATCCTGGTTGCTGTTCTCCAAGACTGCAGGCACAGGGGGGTCTTTTGCTTCCCTTGCTGAGCTCCTTGCCCTGAAGACTCCAAGGACCAAACCTGCATGCAATGCATGTGCTTAGCTGCAGAGACGTGATCCCTGCCCTGCAGCAGTAACTTCTATTTATGCATAATAAAAGACAACACAACAAACAGAATTTGCAGCAACGCATAAATGAACAGAACAATAAAATGGAATAGCAACATCATCAGGGACAAGCCAGGGAAGGCTTGCATAAAAATACATTTTCAGTGCAACGAGGAGGCTGTCCAGTGTGTCTCTGTGTGAATAACTGTTCCAGGTGTTGCTTCTCCCGGTGATGTTCCACATCTGCCCAGTTCTTCTGCCCAGCTGTGTATTTAGTGCCCCTGAAGCATTTGGTTCGTCCCCAGTATAGACATGAGCCTGTGCAAAGGTCCGGGCTTGCTTGCTTTTAATCAGTTACTTTCACAGATTGGGTTTCAACTTGCAAGATGAAACTTTAGCCCCTCTGTTGATCTTAATGCCAGGGGGAAAACTCCACTTATGAAGAATTTACTTCAATTATGTTTCTACGTCTGGATTCAAAATACAGGATAGCCCATACTCCAGTTCTGAGTACATGTTAGGTGCAGCTTGTTGATGCATGGGTTATAGAATCCTGGGTTATCATGTTTTCTGAACCTAGCTGAACTAAGAAGGCATTGCTTACTAACCACAAGCAACCCATGAAGGGAACCTATAGTTTGGTGTTGACTTGTGAGCTGTGGGTTGTTCGTAGTTAAAGAATCTTGGTTTGCTATCACAGCTGGGTTCAGACATTTCAACAAGCACCCACACTTAATCCATGTTCAACCCATGTGTTGGCTATCGCATTGTCAGGACTTGGTTTATGTGTCAGGCTGCTATCAATGTCTCAAGAACAGCAGCTGATAAAAGTTGGTAACCTTAGAAATAAGCTTGGATGTCAGTACAACCCTCCATATCGATGCCAATTTCAACTGCCAAACTCTATTTTCATTATTTAAATGTGCACCCAATTTTCCATCCAAATGCTTAGTAAAACTTGTAGGTGGGTCGTCCTTCAAGGCAGGATGAAGAGGAAATCCATTCAGTTTCAACATGAGAGTCTCACAGACACCCCAACAAAAGTTAGAATGTGTGGAAAAGCCGCATGTATTTAGCAAAGCTGATTAGAATAGCTGCCTGGCATTTTAGACCTATCCGTATTACAACAGTAGTATTTCTTGGAGTTATAAATACCACCCAGGATTTAAAGCTGCTTTCTCAGTGCTGCCTTGTGGGCTTCATTATCACAAACCTGCTGACACAAGACTAAACAGAAATTACTGACAGCATATGCTTGTTAATTTGATGCTGCAGAAATGCCCAGGGTAGCTGAATTTATATATGCAAAAAGGGTACAAGGAGCCAGTTTTGCTTCAGGGTATGAAGTGTGGTCCAATTGAAAACAATGGCTATAAAAGAATTCTGTTTTGTCTACAATGGAAAACAAAGCAGGCCATGGAAAGAACATCAATAGCAGATTGAAGGTAAATAGTTGCAGGCTTCTGGTGCAGGCTAGACCTGCCTTTGAGGCCCTGCTGTTAAGGTGGATCTTTTACTGGGGAAAAGGAGCCAGGTCAATAAGTTTTATTATCCAATGGCCAATGAACAACCCACCAAGAGACTCATGGTTTGTCATTAGGTTGTGAATTGTGGCATGTTTGTGGTTAACAAACCATGGTTTGTTATTGCAGCTGGAATCAGTCAACAGGACAACCCTTGTTTTGACACCATGATTGAATGTCATGGTTCAATGATAACCCAGACTCAACCTTTGAGAGTAGGTTATCATGTTGTCTGAACACAGCCATTGTTTCTATCACTGCTTCAAATATTCAGTGTACTTTGTACTCTGCTTCACCTTTGTTAGAGAGGTGGCAAATAGAAGCAGGACCTTCTTGGTAGCTGCCCCCTGCTTATGGAATGAGCTCCCTAGAGAAATTTGCCTGGTGCCAATATGACTCTCTTTCTAGCACCAGGCGAAAACATTTCTCTTTTCTAGGTGTTTTAATCGATAAATTTTTAAAGTTAATTTTAATGTTTATATTAACCATTCATCTTAGTTGTACCCCCAGTGGTTTTAATATTGACCTATTCATTATTGCTGTGATATTAGCTATGTAATATTTTTATTGTATAAGATTATTTTATTATTTTTAATGTGCATGTTATTTTTAAATATTGAAGGCTGCCCAGAGACTCCATTGGAGTAGGAGGTAGCATATAAATGCAAAAATAAGTAAATGGGGAACCTGTAATTTTCCAGATGTTCAGGGACGTCAGCTCCCATCCTTCATGGCCATGAGGCATTTTGGCTGGGCTGATGGGCATTGGAGTCTAAGGACATCTAGAGGGCCATATGGCAGATGGGGGTGGGGTACAAGGCTAGGAGAAAGCAGCTTGCTGAAGAGGTCCTACTAAGCTCGAGGAACATATCTTTTCTGTCACTGAAGCAACAGCCCTTCCTTGGAGCTCAACCACCATTTCCTTAGAGCCAAATCGTTAAGCCAGCCTCTCCCGTTCCTCCAAGCAGTGAGATGCTGTTTTGCTGAGCATTCTGGGACTGACTCTTTTCCTTTGGCAGTCTGAAGGCGACATCGCAGCAATTCAGCCCATAGCTATGGGGAGGGTGACAGGTGGCTTGTGGCCCACTGCACAGGTAACATGTTGTGGTTTCTTGCCATCTCATAGGTGCTTCGTTTGAGGAATATGGGATGTGGCACTTCAGCACACAGCACCTTCTTGGCTAAGCCAGACACAGGTAAGTCCTGCCCTGCCCTGTCTTGTCCTAAGCATTCATTTCATTGTTTAAACATTAATCTTCTGCATAAACCGCGGGAAATACCAGTATTTTCCCTTTCTCTCCCCGCACTTAACTAGGCCAGGGATTGCCAGATGCATCTCATCCTGGTAAGTTCACATATCAACAGTCCTTTCTAATATTACTTTGTGGCACCAAGTAGAGCATCTGTAGGCAAGACAGAGGTCCGTGCGCGTTCTGCCCATCCAGCCACGGAGAATTGCTTTATAGACAGAGGATCCCCAGGACCTTTCAGAGAGGGCTGAAGGTCTTACGTTTTCTGTTTGCTGCTTTGGAATGGAAATTTGCTTTCATCTAAGTTTCCGGCCTGTGAGAATGAGGATTGTTCTTCTCTGCTGCATTCCATTTCCCCATTGGGTGACCAGACAATGGGAAAGTTCATTGTCCAAGCTGGGCTTGGAGGTGTGGAGTCCTGTACTGAGCAGAAGATTGGACCCACTGGTCCACCGGCCCCCTCCAACTCTACCGTTCTACGATTCTCTGATCCTTGGGGGCCAGCAAAGCCAGGACTGAGGTCCTCTGTCTGTGCGACACACCGATGGCACATTGAAATGAATGCACCTCTGTCTGTGCAACACATTGGGCACACTGAAATTCCACAATTAAATACACAATAAAATTCCCTTCTTGGAATTACAGATTGTACAACCTAAGCATGTAATTCAATGGACAATGAGTACTGAATGCGTACGATCCAGGAAAGGTGCCTCTCTCCATGTGATCGGCTTGCCAGTGAGAAACCCTGAGCTCCAAGGCTCCGAGGTTTTCACTGCTTGCTCCAGCTTGGTTTGTCCCTTGAGGATCTTAAAAAATTAAAAAATGAAGAGCTCTTGAAATTTGGAGCCCTGAAATAGTCGGCTTCCTCACAGCAAAGGCAGGAAGCTATTTGGGATTCTCCTCCTTCAGAAACAGGAATCGGAAACCATATCCTCAGGAAAGGTGATGCAGTTTTCCGGAGATTTTTGAACTGGTAAATTTTACAATGCAAATGGTGATCGTTTGCACAGGGAAAAATCAATTTGCACTGATTTCAGGGAGCAAATTGATCCTGTGGTTTTCTAGACAGCCATAGGATTTCCCTTTGCATTGTCTCACAAACTCACTAGCTGTAATCTCCTGGAAACATTAAGCACAGCTTTAAAGCTGCTTTGAAGCTACCAAAATTTGCTAATTTTGTATTTGCATCTTGCATCAATTAATCTGTGTGAATGAACCTAAGAAATTTCCATGGCAAAATAAAGCTCTGGGGGAAATATTCAGCTCCACAACACTGCCCCATTATCGGATAGACAGGTGATGACGGAGGGGGAAGGAAGCCGTCCCAGAGATCTGCCTGGAGAGATTTTTGATCACCACATGATCCGACAGAGAGCGATGATTTAAAATGGTGGCCCACGCCCAAGATCCTGCCACAGCTGGCCCAGCCAGCCCGTGGCTGGAGATAAGGGTGTTTGGCAGAGCAGTGGCCCCGTCATGGGGTCTGGGCCATGGCAGCTGCGGTGGATGATGGGGGTTTACGCAACCCCTGCTTTCCGTAGCCTGCACTTGAAAGGGCAAGATGGGTTCCGTGTCTACATGCCCTGAGCGTCTCCTTCTGTACCTCAGCATTTAAAGCGGCTGTCCTGATCCAAAGATGGTATCGGCGCTACGTGGCTCGGCTTGAAATGTGCCGCAGGTGCACCTGGCGCATCTTCCAATCCATAGAGTATTCGGGAGAGCAAGATCATCTCAAGGTAGGATGGCAGGAGGGGAGAGGAGATGCTGCTGGGGAGAATTATGTACTCAGCTCAGTGCTCAAAATGAAAGAGCAGAAAATCATCGGCCGCCACTGCCGAGTGCCTCTACTTAAGTAACCAAAAGAGCTCCTCCCAGGCACAAGAAGGGAGGTGCCAGACGGCGTGGGGGGACCCCAGAGTAAGAGAAGTGCACAACGTCTTTAGAAAATGACCGTATGCAAGGAATTACTCTGCCCATGCAAAGAAAAAAAGCAAGATACCTTCCCATTGAGACAGTTTTTGGAGAACCAAAAAGGCAAGAGTGGAACTGAGTGTAGTGAAAGACTATGCAGAAACATAGAAACATAGAAACAGAGCGAGTCAGAAGGGGTCTCCCGGGCCATCTAGTCTGACCCTTGGCTCCAGATGGCTCTGCTCACGACATGCCCACCATGTGCATGTCCAGCCTATCCTTGAACACCCGCACCGATGGGGCCTCAACGACCTCTCGTGGAAGCCCATTCCACACCCTCGGGGTCCTGACTGTCAGGAAGTGCACTTACCGTCAGAAGCACTTCATGCTGCAACATTGTGTTGCAGATCGCATTCGTTCCTTTCTTACTCCACACATGTCCCATCTTCAAAATAGGTCAAGGCTCTGCAAGTAGTGAAGCAGTGGGGCAGAAGAGAAGAGGGAGGAAGGTGCAAAGCAGCCCTTAGCATGACTGACGGCATCTATCTTGTCTTCTCTAGCTCAGCAAATTCTTTGACTACCTCATGGCGCAGTTCACACCAAGCAGCAGCAAAGAGCGTAAGCTTTATATTTGGGGGTGTGTAACTGATATGCTCACTCTTGCACACATTCTTTGCACCAAGGTAACTTGTGTATATCAAACAAATTAATAGAAGTGGAAATAATTGGAATTACAGCCCTGTGGGAATCATACTGAAGTGCTTTACAGCTGATGGAACTAACACTTAGTGAAATGTATCCATGCATTTATTGCTAGCATTCCATGTCTGAAAACCCCTTTTTATTTCCTTTAAGTCATTCTCAAGTTTTTAACCAGCTGCATTTTATTGTGTATTTTAATGTTTTATAGGTTGTGCAGTTCTGTTTTTCTACTTTGTATTCTGCCTTGAGATTGTATGGTAAAAAGCAGGATAGAAATTTCATCTATACATGAGCATGACATCATTCATGATCTCTACTGGCTGTAAAGGAAATCAGAAAACCGCTGAAATCCTTCCCCTGCCCTGAATACGATTCCAGGCACATCCCACCCTCCCTCCAGCGTCTCAGGATTTTATTCCAAATGTTCAAGTTTATCTTGGAGCTTTAAAGTTGCTATTCAGGGTCTTCCAGATCCCATCCCTGTTGACCTTTAAGAAGGGGCTGAAGAGTTAAAGCCGTATCCCTTGGCTTCCTGTGTTTATTTTTATTGGACTGGGTTGCAGTGTTAGGGTTTTGTTTACATGCTGGTATCCATTTTAAAAAAAAATTACTGTATTGCTCGGGCTTCTCTCACTCCAGTGGCTTTTACTGCATGAGTTTTATTGCTGCTTGCTGCCTTGAGTGAGTTCCTGCACTGAAAGCCACCAAGAACTATTTTAAATAAACACCTATTCTGGCTTTCTTCCCCTCCTAGGAGATTTCATTAACCGCATATTGTCGGAATCTGACATCATGAAAGACAACTCCTGCAACTACCGGTCCGTTGTGGTGCCGGACAGCTACACTGGGCCCCGCCTGTCCTTTCCCCTCTTGCCCGATGATGCGGCTGCTTTGCTAGAAGCTTTCAAACAAGAACAAGTAAGAATCTTTAGAGCAACGGTGTCCCTCTCGTTTTTCAGAAATGCAAGGGACTGGCTTGGCATTACGGAATAAAACCGATATAAGACCGTGGTCTTCATCATCATCATCATCATCATCATCATCACATTGCATTTATATTTTGAGGAGCATATTGATAACAACATCAAGACCAAGAATACCAAATGCTTTAAACACAGAAACAGAGCGAGTCAGAAGGGGTCTCCCGGGTCATCTAGTCTGACCCCTGGCTCCGGCCAGCTCCGCTCACGACATGCCCACCATGTGGACGTCCAGCCTATCCTTGAACATCTGCACCAATGGGGCCTCAACAACCTCCTGTGGAAGCCCATTCCACACCCTCGGGGTCCTAACTGTCAGGAAGTGCTTCCTGGCATCCAAATTTATTTATTTATTTATTATTTATTAAAACATTTCTATGCCACCCCATTCGCCGAAGCCTCAGGGCAGCTCACAACATAAAGTTAAAATACAAAAAATAACAATATAAAATAAGTTGCCCTGGCCAGATAAAATAAGCAAATAATATTAACAATTAAAATGACGCTTAAATAAAAAGGTCTTTGCCTGGCGCCGAAAAACAAGTAACGACGGCGCCAGGCGGACCTCTCTGGGGAGCGCATTCCATAGATTGGGCGCCACCGCAGAGAAAGCCGTCCTCCGAGTCCCCACCCTCCTAATTTCTTTCACGGAGGGTTCCCGGAGAAGGGCCTCTCCCGCAGATCTCAAGGGGCGGGCGGGCATATATGGATGTAAGCGCTCCTTCAGGTAACCAGGACCCAAGCCGTTTAGGGCTTTATAGGTCATCACCAACACCTTGAATTGGGCCCGGACTTCAATGGGAAGTCAGTGAAGCTGATGGAGGACTGGAGTCATGTGAACATAACGCCCAGTCCCCGTCAGCAGCCTGGCTCCCTGAACTTGGCTCCGTTGGAGCATGTCCTGCCTTCCTCTGCAGGGGAGAACAGGTCTCTACCCTCCTCCGTGTGACACCCCCTCACACACCTGTATGTCGCCAGCAGATCCCCTCTGAGTCTCCTCTTCTCCAGGCTGAAGAGGAGCCTGTCCTCTTTAAATATATCAGAGGACAGAAACCAGCTAGAGCAGCCTTCCCCAGCCTTGTGCCTTCCAGACATGTTTGGACTATAACACCCAGAATTCCCAGTCAATGACCCTGCTGGATGGGAATTTGGGAGATGCAGTCCAAATGCCTCTGAAGGCCACCAAGTTGGGGAAGGCTGAGCTAGAGAGTCAGCTGGACCATTGGATGATAATGGAATTAAAGGACTCCTAAAGGAGGATAATGAGATTACAGAGTATCTGGATGAATTCTTTTCACCTATCTTCAGCGCAGAGGATACAGAACAGATACCTGTTCCAGAACTAATGTATTCAGGAAGGAAGTCTGAGGATTTATATATTTAAAGCTTTTATAACCGTCACTATACTAACATCTTGGGACAGTTTACAACAAATAACAAATAAAATAGAAATTAAGGCAGCTTATAATGACAAAAGATTATATCAGTTACATCTTATTTACAGACTGGAAGTTAATAAATCATTGGCCAAGTTGGTATCCAACCCAGTGTTCTTAAAGAACTTGAACATGAAATTGCTGCTCTTCCTACAAATATATTATCATGGTCCTAAGATCAGCCTTTGGACCAGAAGACTGGAGAATCACCAATGCAACACCAATTCAGTTGGTGGGGGGGGGGGGGGGGGGGGGGATCTGGGAAATTATAGGCTGGCTAGCTTAATGCTTGTTCTGGGCAAACTGGTTGAATTTTTATAAGGATGAAATCAGCAACCATGTAGAGGCTCAAGTCCTGCTGAATAAGACTCAATCAAAGGCAAAAACTATTTCACTAAACTATTAGGGTTCTTTAAGAGCATCTAGTCTGGTAGACATTTTTTACTTGGACTTCCAAAAGGCTTTTGACAAGGTCTTAAGTCTTATGAAAGACTCCTGAATGAACTTAGCAGCTATGGAATAAGTTTGGGGCTTCCTCTTATAAATCAGTAACAGCTTAAAGACTGGGAAGCAGAAAGAGGGAGTAAATGCCAATTTCTCCCAGTTGCTTCCTCTCCCAAAACACTGAAACCTGAGTCATCTCACAAAGCAGTTTGGTGGAAGTTTAGGACAGACCAGAAGTACTTCTTCACACAACACACAACTACACTGTGGAATTCACAGCCACCAAAGTGGCACCGGCTGCCAATTTGGATGGCTTTAAAAGGGGGCTGGACAAGTTCGTCAGGGTTCTCAGTGGCTACTAGGCTTGCTGGCCACCTGCTTCCTCCTCCACCAGAGGTGGCCTGCCTGCACACACCAGCTGCTGAGGAGCCTGGGCAGGAGGAGGCCTTGCACCCGTCCTGCTTGAGGGATCCCGTGGGCAGCTGGTTGCCACCGTGTCTACAGAGTGCTGGACTAGATGGGCCTGGGGTCTGATCCAGCAGGCTTTCTTCATGTTCTTACACCCTGTTTTGCCTTTGGCTCAATCAGCCAGGATGCAGCCCTCAAGAGCATCTCCAAAACGGAATTCAACACTCTGGCTGAAAGATGTTCAGCACTGCTGTCCAATGGGCCAATTATCTCCCCTGGTATACATCAGCATTCCTGTTGCTTACTTTTTAAACTGTGAGCTGCCTGGAATTATAATTTTCGTTGAAGCATCCTGAAAACTGTAGTTGTGAGCCCAGGACATCTTTCTAATGGCCATCTGTGATTTCTTCATTTCTTCCTAGTAGCAGCTTCATGCTCATTATGTCCTAAGACTCTTCCATGAGACGCGAAAGCATCTGAACCAGTTGCCAAATCTCACCAACATCTCTACCTGCTACAGCGAGGAGATCACTGTGTGTGGTAAGCATCCTGACACACATGTGTTTATGCACAGAGCATGGAAAGGAAACCATTCTTCTGCAAAAGCATGAATAAAAACAAATGCAGAACTTCAGGCATGCACAGTCTGCTTGGCATTTTTGCCAAAAACTAGAGCATGACAACAGGCTAAATATGAGCCAGCCATGTGATGGAGCTGCAAAACAGGCAAATGCTATTTTGGGATGCGTTTATAGAAGTATTACTTCCAAAGCATGAGAAGTAGTAGTTCCCCTATACTCTTCACTAGTCAGACCCCTTTCTGGAATCCTGTGTCCAGTTCTGGGCACCAAGATTTAAGAAAGATGCAGAAAAATTAGAAATGGTCCAGAGTTGGGCAACAGAAATGATCCCAGGTTTGGAAACACTGCCCTGTGAGGAGAGACTGAGAGAACTGGGCATGTTCAGCCTTGAGAAGAGAAGACTGAGGGGGGACTTGATATCCCTCTATAAGTACCTCAAAGGCTGTCCCAAAGAGGAAGGTCAAGATCTCATCTTGCTGATGCCAGAGTGCAGGACACAGAATAATCAAGTCAAGTTGCGACAACCCGGATTCAGGCTGGGCATCAGGAAAAGCTTCCTCATTGTCAGAGCAATATGGCAGTGGAACCAGCTGCCTAGAGAGGTGGGGGGCTCTCCCACACTGGAGGCACTCAGAAAGGAACTGGGCAGCCATCTGAGTGGGATGGTGTAAACTGGTATCCTGCACTGAGCAGGAGTTTGGACCCAGTGGCCTTCATGGCCTCTTCCAGATCCACTCTTCTATGATTCTATGTCCTCTTTCTTTCAGAAAGTGAATAATTGAGTAACTTGCATTGAATAGACTTGACCTGATGTCAAATTCCTGTGAGGGCCTAAACTCTCAGTAAACTGACTCTCCCTCCCCTGCCCCCTTTTTTTAGGAGACTTACACGGCCAACTGGCTGATTTGTTTCTGATATTCTACAAGGTACGTATGCTGTGCTGATAAAACGTTTGGGGAAGGCTCCTATCTGGAGAGCTGTGCTTGTGTCCATTCAAATGGACTTTGCAGGTTTCTTAGTACAAAATCATGATTTACCAGAAGTGAATGTGGAATGGATTTGCCTAGCAAGAACACTCATCTCTCCTTGAAAAAGTAAACACTCCAGAAAAAAATATTCATCTGTCTCTAGACTTAATTTCTGATTTTCCAAATAAATACAGTCAGTGCTTTTTTTGTAAAAAAAAAAAAAAAAAAGTGCCGGAACTCACGTCTTGGGGTCACACTTTTACACAATGGTCGCCGCCAGCAGTAAGCACTCGGCACGTGACCACATGACCGATCCCAAGCCGAGCAGCGCCCTCACAAACAGTGCGGACACCCACGCAGCCTGCAGGCACTATGTTAATGATTTTTGCTGCCGATCTGCTACGCCCAATAGGATTATTCACAATTACTTGGAAAAATCTGTCAAAAAAAGGTGCCGGAACACTGTTCCGGTGTGTTCTATGACAAAAAACAGCCCTGAATACAGTCCATATTTCTTTCAGCCTTTCTGTCCACACACACACTTTTCATTGGAAAGAAAGAAGTTTTGAGTGCATCAAATTGCTGCAGTGGCCCCAAACAGAAACGAAACAGTTTTTTAATGACCTCTGTGACACTCTTGCATTGAAGCACTGTTGTGTGTGTGTGTGGGGGGGGGAGAAAGTGGGAGAGATGGAAACAGATATTAGCAGTAAGATAGCAGTTTAAAGAATCATGAGGACCTAGAATGGCAGCTATCAGAAAGATTGCTGTGAAGGTGTGCCAAGCCACAAATAGGGTCACCTGCGCCATTCATTACTGCAAATGTCAAACACACACAAGAGTATTTATTTATTTATTTATTTATTTGGAGTTTTTATATGCTGTCCCATCGCTTAACGCCTCGGGATGGCTTACATAAATAAATAAACATAAATAGACAACATAGTGCCCAATACAAATACAAAAAATGTTTATTTATTTATTTATAACATTTCTATGCTGCGCCCATCGCCGAAGCCTCGAGGCGGCTCACAAAGAACAAACAATCAGGCATAGGAAGATATAAAAAATTTGGAGTTTCTCGGCAAATATAAAACTATTAAATAAAAACCAGTTAACAATTAAAATATTGTTTAAATAAAAAGTCCGAAAACCAAATAACGACGGCGCCAGGCGGCCCTCTCTGGGGAGCGCATTCCATAGATGGGGCGCCACCACAGAGAAGGCCCTCCTCGGGTACTTTGCCTCCTGATGCCTTTCCCGGAGGGCTCCTGGAGGAGGGCCTCTGCCGCCGATCTCAAGGGGCGCGAGGGCAAAGAGGGAAGCAGGCGTTCCTTCAAGTGATGGAGCTCCAGCGGATAGTTCCCTGAATTGCAGGCTCTGGCCTCATCTCTTGGGAGGAGACTCAGGGCCGCCTGGAGGCTGCACATCCGACCGAGGAGAACCTGCTGGCGCTGGGGAGGCCAGGCCAGTCTCAGGTGTGCAGGGATCCCCGCAGACAGCTTGTTGCCCCAGAACAAACACCTGCAGGAACTGGAGGCCGAGTCTTGCTCTTTCTCCTCCTCTCTCCCAATCCCGTTTCTTTCCCTGTTGTGTCTTTTGTGATACGTTCCACAGCCACTAGATCATGGGTGCTCAAGGGATCCGGCCCGCCATGCCCATGTGGACCCCCCCGCATGCGCCACCGCCCACCTTGCGCTGCGCACGGGGAGGCAGAGGTTTGCTCACTCGGAGAAAATGATTGCCAAGCAGCCCAGCTGCCGTCTTGTGCGTCCGCCTCGTGGCGCGTGCCCACCCTGCCTCGCCCCCACCACCCACGCCTCACCACGCACCCCACCCCCGCCTCAGCATGCGTGCTCACATGCAGCACCCTGCCCCCGCACCGGTCCGTGCGCGCTGCCGGCACCACCTTTCTAGCCCGCGCCCAGCACCAGCGGCTTTCAACTGCACTAGGTGGCGCCTAGGTAGTCACAGCATAGGTCAGTGATGGCGAACCTTTTGGAGACCGAGTGCCCAAACTGCCACCCAAAACCCACTTACTTATTGCAAAGTGCCAACACTACGATAAAACCTGAACACTGAGGTTTTTGTTTAGAAAAAACACCTCGCAGCCAGTCCAAGCAAATGCATATATATATCCTTGGCAGTGCACTGACCGGCCATGCGAAAGCTCAGACGAGTCGCAGCTAATGAGGTGCGGCTTGTGACATCATTGACTGGCGTCGCAGCTCCTTTCCGAGCATGCGCATGGCCCCTGTGTGCTCTGTTATGCGATGCTCAGCTGCTGGGGCGACTCGGCTCGCGTGCCGACAGAGAGGGCCATGCATGCCCGCTGTGGCACGCGTGCCATAGGTTCGCCACCCCTGGCATAGGTGAAAGCCCAGTTCTGAGCGGAGCAACGTGCTCCGAGCTTGGAGCAGGGTCTCCAGTTTCAGAGGTCCCTCCTCCCACCTGTGTACCTGGCGCGATTTTTCCATACTCCTTGCAGCTCTGAAGTTGCAGGTGTGCTTTCAGAAAAGGCCTGGGGGCCGGGTGTCTGGGAAGGCAGGAGCTGAGGAGTGAGGCTCTAGGAGGATCCCAGTGGTACCTCAGTCCAGCCTCCTCACAAGCAAGAGCAAAGGCCCACGTGGCCAGCCTCAACCATCTGTCTCCTTGGAGGGCAGGAGAAGTGGAGTGGCTTTGCCTCTGAGCTCTTCCTGCCTTCTGTCTGAGCTCTGAGTTTGGAGGGTTATGGGCTGCCACCTTGGGTGATGCCCTTGGATTGTTCACCTGGGGGCAAGCAACCGCCTTATTATGGATCTTGGCAAGCCATTCTGTGCGTTTGCTTGGATAACCATACTGTAAGGAAGCGATCCAATTGGAACAGCACAGCACAGCTATTCCATACCTCCCAAAAAGCTGGATTTCCTGCCATCTGCTGAAAGGATCCACAAGGAAAACAATGGGTGGCCAATGATTTGGTGAGGATATCCTGTGGATGTGCCATAAGAAATGATTTGACGACGGATAGTAGTTCAGTGGTAAGTGCCTAGAGTGGAATACCCAAACCTAGAGAGGCTTTGCAGCAGGGCTCACTTGCAAGAGCAACCTTTATCTTAGCTCCCTGTTGATGCTTCATGACAAATTCTTGGGGTTTTGTGCCTTACAGAATGGCCTTCCTTCTCCGCAGAAGGTGTACATCTTTAATGGTGACTTTGTGGACAGAGGGAAACACTCCATGGAGGTCTTGATTATTCTGTTTGTCTTCCTCTTGATTTATCCCAAAGAGGTGCACCTCAACCGAGGGAACCATGAAGACTATATGCTCAACGTACGGTATGGGATTCAAAGCTCTCTCCAGGAAATCGTAGCTGTGTGGTTTTGGTTTGCCTTTGAATAGTGTCAATCAGATAAAGTCTATACATTCTACAGCCAATTAAATACCAAAATTGCAATGCAATGGCAATCATCTGAAAGAAACAATTAAACACCAGTATAAAACCTTGCTTGCTAGCTAGTTGCGAAGTCGTGTCCAACCCATTGTGACCCCATGGACAACATTCCTCCAGGCCTTCCTGTCCTCCACCATCCCCCAGAGTCCACTCAAGCTCACACCCACTGCTTCAGTGACTCTATCTAGCCACCTCATCCTCTGCCTTCTTCTTTTGCTGTCAATTGTTCCCAGCATTAGGCTCTTCTCCAGGGAGTCCTTCCTTCTCATTAGTGGCAAAGTATAAAACCTACAGAAAAGCAAAATCAAGCTAACTTAATGAAGAGCAGTAAAAAAAAAATCAACATAATAAAATGCAATATCATCAAAGAGCTAAAACCACTTCATGTGGGAATTAAAACCATGAAAATGTCACAGGTGAATAATCAATGGGATTTAAAAAGCACCTTAAAAGGCCTCAGAGAACAGAGGACAAGGCCCTGCCGAGGACAGAAAGTTGGTCTTAAGCAAACTTCTCTAGGCAAAGCATTCCATTATTGGGCTGAGTCACCACTGAGAACACCTTTGCTTTAGCACCCTCTCTGAACCTCAAGAAGACAGGGTCTCAGAAGAAGACTCTGGAGAAGTCCTTAGGGTGCAGGCATGCACAAAAGAGCAGAAGCATTCCACCAGATGCCGAGATCACAAATCACAAGGCTTTCTAGATTAAAACTAGAACGTTGAATATTGTTTATGCTGCTGCTGTTTTTGTCAATGAGCATCAAATTAATCCATCGCATATCTTCCACCTCTAGCTATGGACTCACCAAGGAGATCACACGTAAATACAAGGTAACCTTGTTTTGTGAGCCTGATGCATCGTGTATATTGTTGGGGGACCTGTGCATTTTCTCATTTTTCAACTCTTTCTGTCCTCCATCTAGGAGCACAGTGGCAAAATTGTGAAAATGCTTCGCCATGTCTTTAGCAGCCTGCCGCTGGGGACCTTGATTGACCAGAAGGTCTTGATCGTACATGGAGGAGTGTCCAGCAAGACTGATTTGGAGCAGCTGGCCAAGATTGACAGGCATAAGGTGCAAATCCTTCCAAAACTTTTCGTGGACTCCTCAAAACCAGAAAATGTTGTTGTGGGCATTTGAAACCAGACAATATAAAATTGGCGTTATTGTTACATCCCCCCATTGTTGCACATCTCTGACTTCACCCAGAGCGAAGTGTTCAGCCCTCTCTAACACCTCTCAATCTCCACCCCACTGATATCCTTTCCTCTTGCCCCGCTCCAGAGGTGGGGCAGTGTGGTACCTTGTCACTCCTCCCATTTCTCCGTCACCTGAATTTCCCACCTGTGCTGTCTCCTAGTAACCAGCATCACCTCTTCAGAGGGAGGGACCTCTCTGTCGGACAGACTGCTCCACTCCTGTTGTGCACCCTGCCCAGTTCCCAAATCTTTCTCTTGCTCTCTCATTGGTAAATCAAGGCTCTAATCAGCCCCAGCTGTGAACTTCACCTCTTGCTGTGCTCTCTCTCCAGTCCCACGGGATGGTGGGCCATCACCTCCACCCACCCGGACTGGTCCTCCTTGTTCCCCAGACATTCCCTGGCCTTGATCTAACATTCCAGAATCTTGGTTGTCTGAACTCAACTTCCCACCGAAGCTATAAACCCGTCAGATGCAATTTGGCACCTTTTCCCTGTACACTCACACAACACTGATGCCATTGCAGGTTCTTGACCTCAAAGGACCTTGGTTCAACCTGGGCTGTTCCAAAAGTGGTTGAGAGTGTTGTTTTGAGTCCTCAACGATATCTGGTTGTCTATATTCAGGATGTATCTCCTGGCTCTGTTTACATTTTCTGTAGATTCTGTCTGTATTAACACAGAAGAGAAAGAGCTCTAGAAGCGTGGATGGCACTGAGCTGGAAGGTGCCAGGCCTGCCTGCGACAGTTTGCCTCAGGCCGCAAATCCTGAAAACAAGTCTGAGTTCTCCCAACGGGCACAGCAGACAGCCCAGGAAGCTCTGCAGACTCACCGCAGGATGGCTGGAATCACGCCGGCTGCAGGAGCAGAGGGGCTAGTCCAGCGCTCCGCCTCCGTTTCGGAGATAGATGTGAGATCCTGCGAGTCAGCAAATTTCGAAGACGATGACATTACACAGGTAAACTGAACCTCCCCCTGAACTTCAGCCAAGCCACAAGGAAACCTGCGCAGCGCCCAGCCTTTTCCTGCTTCTGTCTTTGGCTCATGTAGATGGAATGGAGATGTTCCATTAGCTGTACCTACCGTTGCTTCTGAAAACATTCTCTTGCCAGTTTGTGTCCGTTATCGAGCTTTTGTGAGCTTTCCCCCTGTTTTCCTATCAGATTCTGGCCTATCAGGGTTCATGTAGTGAGTTTGATGTTGCCATTGGGCTACGTAGCCAATTAGCTATCACTGTAGCCAAGGGCGCCAAGGGCAAGCCAATGCTGATGGAGGGGAAAGCCTTCCGAAGAAGGGAGGCCACGAGGTCCAGTGGTAGTGCAGAAGATCCCCATTTCAGTCTCCAGGTAGGGCAGGAAATAGTCTCGCCTGCAGGGCTGATGGTCCAGCTCAGTAGAAAGCAGCATCCCGTTGCATAGACTCATAGGCTCGTCACAGTAGAGCTGGAAGGGGCCTGTGCAGCCAATGAGTCCAACCTCTCGCTCCATGCAGGACTCCCAGCTAAAGCATCCCTGACAGAGGGCTGTCCAGCTGCCTCTTGGTTGCCTCCAGTGTGGGAGAGCCCACCACCTGCCTGGGTCTTTGGTCCCATTGTGGTATTGCTCTAGTTGTTGTTGTCAGTGGCGAAGTCGTGTCCGACCCATCGCGACTCCATGGACAACATTCATCCAGTCCTTCCTGTCCACCATCCCCCAGAGTCTGCTTAAGCTCATACCAACTGCTTCAGTGACTTCACCTAGCCACTCCGTCCTCTGCCGTCCCCTTCTTCTTTTGCCATCAATTGTTCCCAGCATTAGGCTCTTCTCCAGGGAGTCCTTCCTTCTCATTAGGTGGCCAAAGTATTTGAGCTCCATCTTCAGGATCTGGCCTTCCAAAGAGCAGTCAGGGCTGATCTCTAGTGTTCACTCCAGACGGGACCTGGCTTCCTGTCGCCTGACCCATGATTCCATGTCCTGGAGCCTGGGATGATCGAGAAGCAGTCCTGGCTCTCCGCTGGGTGGCAGAGTGCAGGGTGCCATCCTGTCTCCCCCCAGTCTTCTCATCTCGAGGTTAAATATGCCTGGTTCTTTCAGTCTCTCCTTACAAGGCTTGGCTTCCAGACCCCAGTCATACTCGCCGCACTTTTCATCCCTCCAGCTTGTCTACATCCTTCTTAAAGTGTCGTACTCCGAACTAGACACAGTTTGCAAGATGGTGCCTAATTAATGCTGAATGGGGGGAGGGGGTGGAACCAGTACCTGATGGGTTCTCCTAGCTAATTGCTTTTATGTTACATAGGAATGCATTTTTGTTCTGCTTTGTATTGTTCCTCAAGCAAAATATTGTTCTTCATATGGAAAGTATGAATATAGATAGTATCATATAGATTGGTAGTGCAGTTAGGTTTTCTTTAAGTCTTAAAAAGGGAGGGTACACCTGTCAACATTTTTACAAGAATGTTGCCTCAGGACTATGGAAAGCTCTTGAATCCTGGGAACAAACTCTATTGTCTGAAGTATTCCATTGCAATGGAATTCCATTGTAATTGCATTTGTATTCAATCCGCAGCTGAGGACCTGTTAATGCAGTAATTTATGTGGAAATTAATCACTGATGTGTCCCTATGTTCCAATCACATGTGCATAACAACTAAAAGATGAAACTCTGAAATAAGATCTTCCCCGTTTGTATTGTTTTCAGCAATTAACTCAGTGGGTTATTTCTGAATAAGCATTTCAGTAATACAGAGATTATAATATTGACCTATCTTACAGGGACGGTTAAAGAGTACCAAGATGATGTGTTTTAAGGCATAATCTGTCTAGACACATCCTAAAAGAACATCCCAAAAACTCCAGCAATCTCTATAATTTTTGCTTGAGTAATAATAGTGGTTCTCTCTCAATAGCTGAGTCCATTATAAAATTATTAACTCTGAAGTTGAATCTAGGAGAGCTATACATTTGGACTGACTTTGGTAACTCTCCCAAATTCTGGTGACCAGAAGAATAGTAAAGGATGGAAGTTGCACCCATTGTTAACCAGCAACTCATGACCTTCCCGGCCATAGATGGTTGATTATGACATGTGAATTCAGAATGTTGGCTTGTTTAGGGGCTAAAGAAGTTGACCAATCCATAAGCCATGTTGTTAATTGCCAGGTTGTTGAGCCCCCAAAGAACCCATGCACCAGGTTCAAACATCACATTCACAACCTTCAACGAGGCTGTTCTTAGTTGTTGAGTAAAGCAGATGTGAAGGCCTCTTGCTTGCTCTCTAATGCTTGTGTAGGGCAAATCATGAATTAACCCATGATTTGCCATTATGTGCAATCCAGATCAAATCATGATGTAAGGAAATTTTCTGTGTTCTTAACAGCCAAATATGAGCCATGTTGAATTCAGGGATGGGGGAGGAGCAGTTTCTATTTACAGGATTGTTGCTGCTTTGGCTTACAGCAACCCTATGAATGAATCCCCCCACCCCACCCACATCCCCGAATGTCCTGTCCTTCACAACCCTGCTCAGCTCTTGCAAAAATTTACTAGATACTCATCAAAATTCCAAGAGCTGCTGCTCTTCTGGATCAAAGTCAATGTGGTATATAACAGGCCAGGTCTTGTTTGCCCCTTAAGGTTTTAGACATTTTATGGAGTGATCCCATCCTGCAGAACGGCTGCAAAATAAACGAGGAGCGAGGAGGAGGCTGTTACTTCGGCCCTGATGTGACAGAGGCGTTTCTGCAGAAACACAACCTGCAGTTCATCATCCGCTCTCATGAGTGTAAGCTGGAAGGTTATGAATTCTGCCACAACCGGAAGGTACCTCAAAAGGAATTTTCTGCAGGGTGTGCTTTTGAGTGGGAGAATGGGAGGATGCATGTTGAATTTCCTGCCTGCAAAATTTTACTTTGGGAAAAAGTTTTGTTACTCATATACGTAGCTAAGTAGTAGTATTCTTCCATTTTTTTTCTAAAGGCAGCTGTTCAAGTTAAAGGATAGACAGTTTCTTATGAAAGAAGGGGTAAAAGTATTGAGAAAAGCAATGGTAAAGCATTGGGTGCTGTTTAATTTTGCAAGAAAAAGTCTGCTAAGGGAGGGATATAAGAAAGATCTTGCCCAAGAGAGGTTTCTAAAATTGCTGATTCTGTAGAGAAAGGGGAGACGAGCATCTTTTTCCTGCTTTCTGTCTAACACAGGTGCATCGGGTCACCTTGTGAGCTTCTGACAGGCGAAAAAACAAACTTTTTTCACAATTAACTTGTGGAACTTATTGTCAGAAGTCATGATGATGGGAAAGGGATTCAAAAAATCCCTTTGTTGGCCATCACTGCTAAAACAGAACCTCCGTGTCCAAGCGACAGTGTGCGCAGAAGTGCTGGCTGTCGTATTTGGTTGGCCACTCTTGGAAGCAGAAAGGACATTCGTCGGACCCCTGCTGTTCCTCGGTTGCGGGTGGCAAACAAATACGCTAAGTGATGGGTAACATGTAGTGGGTATTCGGCATAGAGTGGAGACAGAGAAAATTATATTAGTGGGAAATCTGGTCAGTTGACAAAAGGAGAACATGGACAATTGTTATAAATGCACACATCTCTAGAGCTGCAGACACTGAAAATATCCCAGCATTTGTACTTTTTAAACAGTAAAATTTAAGTTAAGCGTATTTTGTCATGAATTGATTTAATGTTTACATGGAAGGATGCTTTCGCAGATACACATTCATAACTTTCTCACTGTGAAAAAGTAACTGAGGTGGATGGGGAGAGAACAGAGCTAAGGAAGGCAAAAACCTGCGCTTGCGTATTGGCAGCTTCGCGCCAATCTTTGAGGATGGCTTTGCATTGACTGAAATTCACTGCCCTGGTTTTTTTTGCTTTGTTAGGTAATCACTATATTTTCGGCTTCGAACTATTATGCTGTGGGCAGTAACAGAGGTGCTTACATCAAACTGGGGCCCAACCTGGTCCCACACATCATCCAGTACCAAGCCAGCAAGGGGGCGCACAAGCTGACCATGACTCAAAGGCAAGGCTGCCCTCTCCTTTCTGTAGAAACTCTTGGCATGACACCATCACCAGTTCCAGGGGGATCAGTTACAAAGGTTCCACCTTTGTGTTGCTTCATTTCACATTCAAAGAGCTCCGAGGAACAGATGGCTCTGCCCCAAGGTGTCTACACTGTAAATTTCAAGGTGTAAGGAAGAAGGGCTGAGGCCAGGGCCCCAAGGCATGGGTGCAGGAAAAGCAGTTCACATATATTTAGGGTACCTTGGAGTTACAAGATAACTACCATATTTCCCTGAAAATAATACCTAACCAGAAAATAAGCTCTAGCATGATTTTTCAGGATGCTCATAATATAAGCCCTACCCCCAAAATAAGCCCCAGTTAAGATTGTCAGCTAGACAAATGCATTTAGTACATCCATTGCAACACATGATGGACGTATTGAATTATAAAATAATATATTAATTAATAATAATAAGTAATATTATTGACATTAATACTTAAAATGAAAATGTAAATTATAATTAAGTATTTGTAAATACAGATGAACTTGAGATTTATTGGTGAATGACCAGTCGGAGTACAGACACAACACACTAATAACGTGCGCACTTGATAACGAACGGATGTGTTTCATAATCCATCATGTTGTGTGTTGTAACAGACGTACTTAATGCACTTGTGTGAAATAAAGAAAGTAGATTGTTGTACATGAAAAAAATAAGACATCACCTGAAAATAAGCCCGAATGTGTCTTTTGGAGCAAAAATTAATATAAGACCCGGTCTTATTTTCGGGGAAATACGGTAAGAGCTAGACGAGATTTGACGCCAGCAACCCTGTATGCTTGCTGGATCACAAGCTGCTGGGCTGGAACAGCATCCCTGGCCGGGTGGAGGCGCAGCCTGGCAGCGCCCATTTCTGCAGCTGGGCTGCGGCCAGGGGTCTGGGGTCTGTGGCCTCCGGCAGGAGTAGCCCTGCCTTCAGTGCCCTGCACCTCAGCTCAGCTCAGGTGATGAGTCCTCCTGTGTCAGAGGCTGTGGAGAGAGGAGCCACCTTGGTTCAGTGCCCAGGCCAAATGTACACACGGTGCGGAAAAATGTTTAGCGAAGCCCCAGGTTTTGGGGAGGGGGACTAAAGAAAATATTAAAAGCTCCTTTGGGAGACTGATTTGGGGCAGCAGAGAGGTGCACCCAGTCCTTGCGTGTGGCTTGCTGCTCCCAGAATTAAGCCAGCTACACACATTATAGAGGAAGAGACAGAGTGATGAGAGTTGGAGAAAAACTCCCTCCCTTGAAGATTCTGGCTGAATTTTTCCCTGAGGTCCTTCATACAGAGGCAAGCCGTTCTCTCTAGACTTTCAGGGAAGGCAGAGGCTGCAAGCCCTACCAGTGTTGCGTTGCTCAGGCCTGATTTCCATGACAAATACTTTCCTCTACCTGCCAGGATCAGTCGAGTGGAGGAGTCCGCATATCAAGTCTTAAGGGAGAAACTGTTTGCTCACCGCTCAGACCTCCTGGCAGCTTTCAAGAACTATGATCAGAACAACACAGGTGAGACCAGCGTGGAAGATGCTTTCGACCACAGTGCAGGATCCCTGCTGTTTAGAAGGAGAGCGATAGTCTGTATTAGGGTGCACCTTTTGGCACTGAGGGCTGTGCTACATGTCCACCTAACACACCCTATGCACATTTGCACACAGAGACACGTTTGCACTCGTGAATCATGCCTGTGCATTTGCACTTTTTTTTTTTTTTTTTTGTAATGAGAATATCTGTTCCTTGGCAGGGCATCAAGGTGTTGAAGCCCCTCCCTCCACAGCCCTCCAACTCAATCACAAAAAAATTGGGGGAGCGGGGGAAATGGCCAAGGAACAGGTTTTGTGGTTCCTGCCATCGAAGTCGCATTCCTAGCGCATCCTGGGAGGTTGGCAGGAACCAGCTGGTATTCAGAGTATAAGACTTATTTTTTTTTACTCTGTAGGTTGTTATGGTGATGTCTGGAACTGGCAAGCCTGGGCTATTTGGGGGTCAAACAACCCAGAGTTAACCCAACAACAGTTCATGTGTTGTTCAAACCCAGAGTGGCTGGGTTTGAATGTCCCCTTAACAACCTAGGAACATGGTGATCGTAGGGTGAGCATTGAAACCGCAACTGAGCAGCACCCTGGAGGCAGCGTGTCAGTTGCTGCACACCCGCCCATGGTGTGAACTGGGCTCATTATTTATTTTATTAACGTGCAGAGCTTTCCTTTCATTTTCACCTCGCCACCATTTCAGCCGGGCTTCGTCCTTGAAACGCCTTGTGGGTTTGTGCATCCCGACAGGCATGATCACGCTCAATGACTGGGCAAAAGCCGTGGAGTCTGTCCTCCGGTTAGGGCTTCCCTGGCGGATGCTGAGGCCGCAGCTCGTGGCAAACCTTACCAATGGGAAGCTGGAATACAAGGTGTGGCTGAGAAACATCGTGACGGAGCAGTGGTCATCCACGCAAGAGGTAACGTGTGGGTCTCTGCAGTGGCTGCAGAGGAACGAAGAGGACTGGTCGGTGGTGGCCCCGTGGGAACAACAGTTCTCTGTTTCTGCAGGATTGGGAAAAGCACAGGCAAATATTCTTAGTCGGTGACACGGTTAGCAAGCACATCTTCTCCTAGTGGAATTGTTGACTAAATAGCCAGTGGGTACTCTAGGAATACCTGGGAAATATCTGGATTCTTCTAGAAGGGTAGGCACCCCTCCACCCCTCCCAGTTTAGCTTGGCATTATCTAGTTGTCTACATACGTTTGTAAAAAGGAAGGCAGCAATTTTAGGGGGAGAGAGAGAGGCATTGCAGTCTTCCCTTTCTTCTCCACAGGATGCCAGGCTCACTGTGGACTGTGTCACCCACAATGAGCCACTGGACATCCTGGGTGCATTTGACCACCACTATGATAACTATGAATATGCAAATCTTCCTGCCATTGCAGTGTGATATTCACAGGTTAAATCATCCTTGCATAACCCGCGGTTTGCAGAAAAAGTTATTAGGGCCAGCATCAGGGACATCCTTTTCAAACATGGGCATGATGAGCAATGATCCAGGCACTCACTCAGTCCTGTTCTCCAGCTAAGCTCCATGCTTCTCCCAACTCAGAGACAAACAGGCAGGGGAGGGGCTTTGGCACAGAGCCCCTTCCACTGAGGTCATTTGGCTTCACCAGGGGCTCTCAGGGCTGGCGTAGGCAAGGTTGGCCTGCCAGAGTGCCCCCTCACCCTTTGAAAGAACCAGACAAATGCTCTTACCGGCAATTGGAATTACTTATAAGCTAAGTGGCTGCTGCCATCTTAACTTCCCATGAATGTTGCTGGGCTACAAACTGAGCGGCCTTTGGGACTAGCCAAGCCTCCCATGGCAGCCATTTTGTGGTGGTGGCCAGGGCATGTTCCCCAGGTTCCAGAAGAGTCCACAGACCCACAAAGATTGTCTAGGCAGACTCCTGTTGAATGCAAAATATAGTGAATACATTTTAAAAGTTGTTTCTATTATCTTTTTCCATCTCCATGCGATTGTGAACTTTTCTTTAGTATTAACTTTTGTGTATTTATCTGCACAGCTGTTAAGAGTGCTCTTCTTTCTTCCAGCGCCTCCAGTCCAGTTTGCTGGAAAACATTTACCGAAACCTACCCAACCTGGAAACTATCTTCAGTATCATAGACAGCGATCATTCAGGTAAATGCATTAATTCTCTCCTGGTAATTTGTGTTGAATAGTCATTAGCAAGCAAGGAAAATCACCATATTTTAATTTTGCAGCTGGTTTGTGTTACATAAAACTGTCTTGTAGCCAGAATAGTGATATTAGTTGCTTTAAGAACTTTAATCAAAGTGAGGAAGGGGAAGAAAGCCCCTCCTGGTCTGATTTTATGCAGAATACTGCACCATTTGGTTTAACTCACATAAGCCAGAAAAGCAGCTGGGCAGAAGCAGACTGTAGAAAGTCCCCAGTGACTCGAGATGTGTGTGCAACATTTTTTGCCTTGCTAACCATGTGCTATAGTTGTCGCTTCTCCCACAACATGTCTCTGAGCATTTTACAACGGTAGAGTCGGGGATGAATTGATCAAAGGCAACTCATGGGAAAACAGGAAATGACACAGAATCAGTGGGAGGCGAGGGGGGGGGGAGACATGGGGCAGGGTGCTGCCCTCCTTAACCTGCCATAACTGTGGCTCACCGGTAGAGCAGCTGCTTTGCTGGCAGAAGGTATTGGGTTCAATTGGCACCACCTCCAGCCAGGGCTGGAAGAGCCCCTGCCAAGAAACCCATTGCTGCCTGTCAGTGCCAGCAATCCTGTGCTGGAAGGGCCAAGGGTCTGACTCCAGATAGGGCAGCTACTTCAGTTCATATGCCAGTGACTGGCTTAGGGAGAGAGGAATTGGGACGTCTATCAGCCATGGCGGCAGCGAGAATTCAAGTGCCTTGGATGCACTGCTGGGAGCAGCAGTAAGAAAGCGCTCTTGCCCTTGGGCTTGTGCATTTCCGGGGGTATCTGCTTGGTAGTTTTGGCAAGCATGATGGTGGACTTGCCGGGTATTTGCCTTGCTTCAGATGGTTTCTTGTTAATGGTTCAGGATTCAAACATGGATTCAAACGCTAAAGCCAATACAATGTTCTTTTCTCACCCAACAGGGGTAATTTCTTTCGAAGAGTTCCACCAGACCTGGAGGTTGTTCAGTTCCCATATGAATATTGAGATCTCAGACCAGAACATAACTGACTTGGCCCGCAGTATGGATTTCAACAAAGATGGGAATATAGACTTCAATGAGTTCATTGAGGCCTTTCGTCTGGTCAGACAGTCACCCTCCTGATGAAGAGGTCTGCTGGGGACGAGGAGCACCACCAGAGGCTGCTTCTAAACTCCCACTGATCTTTCAATCCAAGAATGTGCCTCTGTCTAAACTGAGCAGAAAGGGAAAACAAACATCCCTTTCACACCGTTCCATCTTTCAAGCTACTGGCTCACAGTTGATGCTGCCAATTTCACAATGCTTCTGTTGATCAGTGGAGGAAATGGGAAACCTTGCTGTTTAATACCAGGGAGAGCGAGCATGGCTTATTTTTAAGCATTTGGGAGAGCTGAAGGTCAATAGGTTTCAGACTCAGACTGCAGATATTTAAAGTTTTGTACAGATTTAAGATATCTTGAAGAATAAACAACAAGCATCAACTCATTTTTGTGAGATTTCTTGTTTCAACAGGTCAAGGTGACAATTTAACTTGATTTGGCAAGTTCACATTTAAAAACTCCAGAACAGAATTCATGGGTAGAAAATAGGAAGGTATGTAAGAGTTGGTTGACAGTAACATGAATAAATCGTGTGATTGAGTAAAAAGTGTCTACAATTAAGCAGATATTTTTAGATTAAAATGCACATTTATTCTGCAGAGAATAGTGGAGTTGCGGAAGCATTGCATTTTTTTCTTTTCAGGCAGAGAGGATGCCTCTTCTAAGATGATGGCTATTGTGACATATGCATGTATCATCTAAAAACAATGTTTTTTTATTTGAGATGCTTTTACCCATCTGCAGATATAATCCATGCAAACTCAAACAATCAAAGCTTTTTTGTTGCTGCTGCTGCTGCTGCTGCTGACAGCTAATCTGAATGTCCCTTTCAGAACGATAATGCAGATGACTTCACACAGAAGAGACAGAGAAATTTGCCTTTGCCAAAATCATTTTAAACTACTTAATATATTGCCATCCAAGTCTCAGTGGCCCTTCTCAGCCCTCACTAGCACCATTTTTCTTTATACAACCTCTGTGTGACTTGTGGAGCATCTGCCCAAGGGCCCAGCTTCCTTTCCCATTCTCTTCAGTGGCACAGAACACAAGACCTGCACAGCCCATAGCCTATACAATTAAGGGAAAGGCTTCCCTTAGATATTTAAGGGTGTTAAGAAAACCTGTCTCCTCTTAATCCAGACAAAACATCCATCCAATGCTCCAGAGACCTATACTCAAAGACTTGAAAAATAAAGCACCAGCTGGCGTCAAACAACCCATCCTCCCTCTTTTAGTCCTGCCTTCCAGTTTCTTCTTTAATTGTATTTTATTGCCTGAATAATAGCTTATTCACATCACTCCGCAAAGATAGCAAGTATACACACTGTGAATTACAATGGATATAGGTGAGCTGGCAGTTTTAGGATCTTTGTGTAAGTTCACCAAAAGGTGACTGGTGACGCCCAGAAATGACACTGTGCAAAATCTGACCCAGCTCCCCACTCTGAGGTTTTTAAACATCACGACTCCCGCTCCTGTTACCTGAAAGCAACTCTTGGCTTAGAGAAAGCAACTATCACCTTCCAAGCTGTCTAGTTTAGTAAAACAATGCGACAATGTTGTCTTCCAGGCTTTTTATTTTATGATCCTCCCTGGGGTCATTGTAAACAGTCCCTTTATGGCATGGAGCAGCTAGGAAAAACAAGAGCTGGAACCAAGGCCTGGAGAACACAATTCGCTTGCTGTATCTTGCTACAACAGTGAAATTAAAATGTTAGCTGTTTCTCTTTCAGGAGCTGACAACCCTACAACTTTCATTCTGTTCTAACAGATGTAGCATCCTTCAAGGAGGGTTCCCTGACCCTAGGACAGTTTTGTAAACGCTGCTTGAGAAGAAATTAGAACCCCAGGAGTCAGTTGCTTCTGGCAGGTATTTAAAACAAGTGTGCATTACAAAGAACCTTCAAGTGGGATACTGGAAGTAAACATTTCATTTTATTACCTCTTAGAAGACTGATTTTGCAAATTCAAATGAAGCAAAATGATATAAAAATATAGGCTCTAGGTTCTGATAGTCAAAAGTTTATCTTTCACCAGTACTTCTTTCCTACAACTGGCCCTAAAGATGCATATTGGACATCCACCTCTTCCCCTATAAAGCGCAAAGTCTGAAAGCTTTATTTATAAGCAGTTTGTTTAGACAGACTGGGCAAAAGAAACTGAATACAAAACACGGCAGTTATTTTGTGCCAAGTTTGCTGTAGGAGAAAAATATTATAACTGAAAGGGTTTTTTAAAAACATCAATCAGACACACAAATTGTTAAGTGTAAAAGTTGAGGTTTAGATCACAGAATAGCTTCTAGAGCGTCTGTCTTTCTTCATGAAACCAAGTGCAGCTTTATAAACTCAAACCTCTCAAAGGCTAAAGTTCAAAAACTGGAGGAAGGATGCCAACAGCGCTGGAGCGCTCACAAAACTTGCACTAAGGTTTATTGATAGAAAACACCTAGCGAGTTCTGGTAGTGGAGAGGAAAGCTGCGCGTGGACAAGGATGGGAGGCCATCAACTGAAGACCCCTCCTCTGATAGGCATGCTTTCATTCAGTCCGTGCTCTATCAGCTTTATATCTTCCAGGTCATCTTTTATGATACTGATCAGATGACTCAAACCTTCTTGTTGTTGCTTCAAATGCTGAAAGGGAAAAGAAGGAACCTTCATGAACATATTGTCCACTGCAACACTTATGTGCGGATTTCTTGATAATAATCAGCAATTATGCTTGTAAAAGGCCAAATGTTGATGCACAAACACAGCAGGAAGTTGCAGTATCCAATCCTTTCACCTTCATTTCATAAGATTATTAATTGAGAAGAGACTCAGCAAAGAGACACTGCTGAAAGGCTCTCTATCATATTCCGTTAACACTGAAATCGAGTCCCGGTGTTGAGTTTGGTGAGCTTTGCCTTCTTCTGCTCTGATGATGAAGCTTAGAGCAATTTATTATACTGCCATCATTTTCACAAACATGTTCAAACTGAAAATATCATCACGGAGTCACAGTTAACAGCTAACCAAATGCTCAATGCAAAGTAACTGCCAAACTTTTGACAAAAATATCTGGCACAGGATTGCATCCCTGGAACCTCAGGGTGCTTTTAAAAGGTTAAGAAAATGCACTGGCACTCATGGTTTGGAAGACAACCATGTAACTGGGTAAGACCTGATGGCCGAATCTCAGAAATTAGGGTTGGCCAGGGCTCCCAGTGGAAGAGTTTATTTTCCAGCTTTACTCAACTGCCTAATCCAAATTACAGTGGCCTTCTCCTTCCTTTCTTCATTCCTTGCAACAGAAATGCCAGATTCTTTGAGCATGGCAACACTGGAAGCAAAACAGCTATGGGAGCGCCACTTTTTTTGTTTCTGTGGGCAAGATTTTACTACTATGCTTTTAAACACACAATCCCACACCTGTATTCTTAAGGCTTTTAAGAGTCACTAAATATCCCTTCAAAAAACAGCTCCCAAACTGACTTTTAGGTAGCACCTCAGCTCTTCACTAGAATGTATGGTCTATTCTGTAGGTGCAATGACTTTTTTAAATTAATGCTGAAGAGCCAAGCAAAAGTTGAAAAGCCACTTTGGTTTGTGGTTAAGGCAGAAAGTTGGGCCTGCATTCCATCAGCTTGGACCCGCAAGGACTCACCCCTGATACGCACCTGCTTGATTTCCCGCAAGAGATCTGCATCAATGTAATACCTCTCTTCTGATCTCACGGTTCCAAAGTGGTTCTGCATCCTGATTTGGGACATGAGCTCATTCAGTCGACCCTGGAGAAAAGAGAGGTGGATGTTCACAAAGAGCAAAACGGCCGTGCTCTTCCTCTCAGCTGCAGAATTACAGAGGGGCTCTAACAGATGGCAGAAAAGTATAAGCAGGTTCAGACCTCAGCACCTCCATGCTATGTACTTTGGACATGCTTCAGAACAAGGGACTATGATGAATTGCTTCACTCCACTGAATTGCATCCGCCACCCCAACCCACAGATATAAACGTCTGCTCTTTAATAAACTGGCATATAAGGAAGCACGGTTTACCTTTCCCTGAGAAGCTAGTTTTCTACTTAAATGGAGGCAGGAAGTTTTTGTTCTTGCGTCTGTTTTACAGCAATACATTCAAAAGAGTGACTCGGTCTGACATCATGGAGTCCATTCTGCCATCTCACTCAGCTCCATTGCAAAACAGGCCAGTTAGAAAGGCAGGGAAAGACAGCCCCCTGAGACCTTTGAGAGACACCATCAAGCAGCAGAGAACCCTGTGGTTCTCTGTGTCAGCCGGCTTTGGAGTGCCACCCACATGGCCCAGGCCCTTGAAGTGCTCACCTTAAACTGCGTAGGTGCATTGAGTTCACACTGGATCGTATCCAGCTGCACGCGAAGCTGTTCCTCATCTGCTTGGATGGCATACCCACTTTTCCGTTGGATCTCTTGCTTGATTAACACCTAAACACAGAAATAAATTGCATGTTTCAGAAGGCTGGCTATGCCTCAGGAGAATGTATCCTCCTAGGCCCAGGGCATTTTAATTTATTTGTAAGTTAATGCAATCTCTTTCCTCTGGCAATGTTGGAGAAATGAGCATTTCCTGAGTAAAACTGGTATGTCGAACAAACATTCACAACATGCAAAAGAATGTACTTCTTCCTGCTGTGCACAAATTGTGTTCAGAACCCCCAAAGTCATGGCGGTGAGGCTCTGCAGTGGCTAAATGGAACGAGCATGTTCAGAAGCAACCCATCTCCAAGACCAAGAGGTGGGATGACTGCAGCTCATGCGCACTGCACAAGGCTTGTGAGGTTCCCAGAAGCCCCTGGCTGGCAGCTATTCCGATCAGAAGGAAGACCCAGATATAAAATGCGAGCACTTGATGGTGTGAGGACTGAAACAAAAGTGTGTTGCCCAAGGCCATCAGCGGTGCTTTTGGTTTAACGGAGGGTTGAAACTAAGACTTCTTGACATGCCATCACATAAGCTATCACTCTAGGCTGGAACAAACCCCTTCCAGCCAGATTCTGTTTTAGAGAAGCATTCAAGGACTGCCTTCCAGGGGTGGACACCCCTTCCTGAAGGCAAAAGCAGGGCCAAAAATACGAAAAACACCCATTTCCAGGATGATATTCTTACTGCCAGCAACGAAGCCAAAAAATGAGCCTTACGAGAGGCATTTTGACCCTTCAGAATGGCGGAAAGCCCACACAGAAGCCGGGATGCCACCCAGCGACTGGCATTCAGGGGAAAGGGAAGGACTTGGGGAGCAACAGGGTGGCCACTGGGGACCCCAGGTGGGCTGCGCTTGTTTCACAGGGCTGAGATTCAACACCTGTGCGTGACTCACTGCCAGTACTCTTAATCCTCTTTAACACTGGGTTGCAATTACTAGGTGTCACCCAAGACCTACCTGTAACGTTCTGTGAGAAAGGTCCATTAGTTTCCTCTTGTACTGAGCTATTTTGGCCATCGTCGTAGTCTGGTTTTTCTGAAGCTCGCTTATGTCTTCTGATATGATCTAAAGAGAAGGAGAAATTGCCTCAGTTGCACAGAGAAGGAGCATGCTTTGAATGACCACGCCTGCTCTCCTCCTGTTTTTCGCATTCATTAGCTTTTTAAATCCTCCCTGGGTGCAGCTCACAGACCAGTTCCAGAATTGTGGGACTGGGAGCAATTCCAAAGTGTCTACCACCACTGTCCCAGCCAGAAAGGAAGGGCCCTTTGCACTCAAATCCTCCATAAATCTAAATACACAGTTTAGACCACGAGCCAACAGTAAACACGCTGCACCACTCAGTCAGCACATAAGCCAAGGAACTTTTTTGCCTATCCAGGCAGTTGGTTCTAATGACCACAAGGGAACCGTGTGATTTAAGCAGATTTGATACCACCAAAGTCAGGTCCACAGTGATCAGCAGTACAAGTAAAGAGCTCGATGTAACCATTGGATAAAGTACTCTGGAATGGTTACCTTTCAACCCAAGACTGTATGTAGTAATGAACATTCGGGGAGGGGAGACACACAAATCATCCATCTTCTTTATACTCCAAGGCCTGTTCTGACTGACCTGACAGTTGCTTAGACAAAGCTTCAATAAAAACATGTGGCCTACAGGACTCCTGACAAGACGTCATACAACCTCTTCTGGTCCCAAAAGAGGGGTGAATGTCCACCTCTTCCTCAGCCCTTGCTGCTTTGGGAGACATCAACTACCTTTTAAAACTTCTCCTCATCTAGTCCAGAAGACGTTACAGGTGGCTAATGTGGCTTCTGAAGCCCAGAGACCTAGTACCTGTTGCTCCTCAAGGGCAACTCCTAACGTGGGGATGGGGGAACACCAGTCCATGGGATGAATTTGGGCCAAGGGGCTTCAGCTGAGGCTCCCCCTCCCCACGCCCATCCCCTTCAGGGCTCATGGGGTAAGCAACCCCTGCTGTTCTCTCTCCTCACTGCTTCCCCAGGGGGCAAAGCCACTCCAGCGGTGCTGCCAGGTGGAAAAGCATTCCCGTGCTTGGAGCCCTGGCCGGGCAGCTCTGCTGTGAGCAGGTTTCTCTAAACAGGGAAAGCTCTGTGCAGTGAACCACATCTGTGGGTGCACAAGCACCTCTCCTACCTCAGATATGCTGGGGGGGGGGGAAGGCAACTGAGCCCCTGTTCAAAGATCCACCGGGAGGAACTCCAGCTGGCGTTTAACTAGGGGCCACGTGAAGGGGGGGGGGCAACGTCCCTGGATATCACACAGCCGCTGAACAGGTGGTGGCGGGTTGGCCACCAAGAACCCATGCAATTTAAGGCCTCCACCCCTGTCCTAAAGCCCCTGCAGCAGGTAGGCCCAGCAGAAATACTGCGGCAAACATCCAACAACACAGTCATAGCAATTTTCATGCTCACGACAACAAAATTGGCAACAGCCATCTCATCCACAGTACATTTTCAAGTGCAGCAAGCTGCCATTCTCTGCCCGCAGGATCGGTCAGCCGCTACTAGAACAGAGTGCTAACAGCATTCATTTCTGGCAATTGCTACATGGGATTGAAAAAGTAACCCGCCTTTTAGCCAGAGGGCTAGTGGTCAGCCACAGAACTTTCACAAGGAGGAATGTTAAGAAGTCAGTACTCACATCTAATCTGGTTTGATGCTGCTTCGTCATTTGGTCTTGGACCTTCAACCTCCTCAAGAGTTCTTTGAAGCCAACCATTGGCACTGGAATCAGCCTACAGAAGAGCAGAAATGTAGCAAAGATGGGGTTATGTCTTATCTTTTTTTCTTTAGAACTAGAGGTATGGAACTCCAGACTGGAAGGCCAGTCTGTTATCACAATGCATAGAGAACATATTAAGGGAAAGAAATCCTCATCTTTATAAAAACTGATATGGGAGCGGGGGTTCTCTCTGGTAATTACTAAAGACTTTGTCCTAGTTCATCCACACATCTCTATCACGTGACTGCAGAACATTTCATGCCGTGTAGCTGGAGGTGTAAAAACCATAGTGGCTGAAGTTACGCGAAAATGTGTGTGTGAGAGAGAGAGCTGGCCCCTGAACTCCAAACAGATTCTAAATAAGAGCAGCAGCACTTCCGCTAGAGTTAACAAGCGCTAATGAGAGAGAACTTTGCTATCATCCTAAAATATCCCAGTTCAGTCTCAGTGAAGTCAAAACTTGTTCAAAGGATTAGGAAAGGCACAGCAGATGAAACTGAATCAGCCCAGGATATAAGTGAGGGAGAGAATATGTGAATACCTTCCACATCAACAGCCTCCCTCAGCATGCACATTCAGTGTAGCTTCTGCCCAATTGCGGAAGATTGTAACATGTGAACAGGCTCAACCACACGCTTGTGCATTCTGTGATGATTCAGTTCGAAATTGTTTTTATATTTTGCTGCGACTCCCTGCCCACTTTCCAGTTGGTTCTCCCAGGAGTTGTGATCTCCACAGCTGATTTTGGTAAAAGAAAATTACTTGAGCAGCCACATTAATTTATCCATCCCACCTCAGGACAGTATATCCCCTTAAAATATGGCCCACGCGAAGTCATCTTGCAAAATCACTTACTTTTCAGGATCTGGATTGTCAACTTTAGCCTGTTCCCAAATGATAGGATCAACACCTTCAGGGACAAACAGATACAGTGAGAGTGGCTGTACTTGCAACAAGCCCTTTTCTTCACCTTTTGTTACCAAGATGCAACAAACCACCAACAAAATGCTCTCTGAAGGTTTGTTCAGCTAACAGATCTCCAGACCCCTTGCTCCCTTAGTGGGAAGTACAGTGGTGCCTCGGCTCACGAACACCTTGGTTCACGACCAAATTGGGTCACGAACAAAAATTTCATGAAAACTTTGATTTGGGTCATGAACTCCGCATTGGGTGGCAACCAAGATCGTGGCTTGAGTGGGAAGATGGCCATGATCGCAGTTGCGTTTGTGCAGGAAAGACATGCGTGATCACAGGTGCGCTCCTGCAAGCAACATGGGTGCAGTCTCAGCCATCTCCCCCCGCAACCAGCACGATCGTGGCCATCTCAACAAAACTGACCCTGCAGCTAAGAGACAAAGGAGAGAGGAAACCCCTGAAAGAGATCTCCCAATGTTCTTATGGAGGGGGACTCTCCCTCCAAACAATAACCTTCCCCACCCCACCTAGGTTAGTGTTCTCCACTGTACTACTGTACAGTACTTCGTTACTTTGTTGTTCTTTGTCACTTTGTTTCAATTTTTTCTGATTAAAAAAATAGTTACAGAACGGATTAACCTTATTTACATTGAATCTTATGGGGAAATTTGACTCGGGTCACAACCAGAGTCGTGGGACGGATTACGTTTGTGAGCCAAGGTACCACTGTATCTATTTCCTTTAGAATCATGGATTTGCAGAGTTTTGCCAAGCTGCTTCACAGCAGGCCTAGTCACAGTGATCCATGCTCTGGAAACCTCCTGGAAGCCTCCAGAATTGTGTAGAATAGAGGTAGTCTGGGAGCTTCAACCACTACAGAATTTGATTGCTAGAACTCTAACAGGTTTACCTGGATAAAGCCCATATTTATACCCATTCTGGTGTATTTACATTGGCTCCCCATTTGTTACCAAGCCCAAATCAAAGCTTTGGGGGATGATTCATTAACAAAAGAGAAAGCTTTCTCTGTGGTTGAGCCCTGGCTTGCAAATGCCCTCTGGAAATAAGCAAGAGCACCTGAAGCCCTATTCTTTTCAGCACCTTGTCAAGACATCTTTCATTTGTCCATACATTTAAAATAAATATACTATTCAATGAGATGCTATGAGTCTTAATTTTATTGCACTGACTTAAGGGTTATTGCTTTTGTAATATGTCTTTTTAAAAGTCAGTATGAACACTGCCCAGGACCCCTTGTGGATGAAGGGCAGCTTTAAGATAATATGACTGATGAAATATTACATGCTAGGGAGAGTTTAAAAACTAAGGACTTTCCCCCATGTTAGTTAGAGTGCAACCGGTTTCAATAGTTTGATTCAGGATCAGTGTATTATAATCACTCACCCCAATCATGAACATACTTTTGCTTGTATGGATAGCATCCACCTACACTGTCTGATTCATTCATGTGACAAACCTGGATAGCAGCTACACTTTACCAGGTAAGAAAAATGCAGTTGCTGGTAGGATTTCTCATGCTGAAAATTGAATTTAAATATGCATAGCTCAAAACACAATGCATTTGGCTTTTTTCTTTATCAAAGAAATAGCTTCAGGGTAGAGTCCCATATGTTAACTCAAGATTAATTACTGTAATATGCACCTCTTCTTACTTTTGGGCAGGCATTTACCTCCTGAAGAAGTGGGAGTTTACTGAACTATGTTTAGAACGAATTTATTAGAAGAATACTTGCTTAGTGGGTCTGCTTACAGATGGCTTGTAGAAACAGAGCCAGGAAGGACACAGTGATCAATCTCTACCCCATTAATCCATCCCATGCCTAGAGCACCCGCCCTGAAGGAACCTCCCAGTCATGCATTTTTGAACCCCGAGGCCATCCATTTGGCCTCGACTCCAACAGGGCTCGGTGTTCAGCCAGCACGCACTACCTGCAGGGGGATGCTGCAGCAACTGCTTGATCTGTGCAGGAGAGAGCTCTGTTCTGGCCATGGTGAGGGTAACTCCAAGCTGCTGCAGCTGGGTTTTGATGTTCGCTTGTTCAAAGTATGCATAGAGGCTGGTAGCTGGAACTCTCCTGGAAGTCCCATTTGGTGACCGTTCAACAACATAAATGACCACTTCAGTCCTAAAAGACCAGTAAAAATACTTACGTTTAATATATTGGTTCTTTGGCTCTGCAGCTAATCAAGGGTAGTGACATGGTGTATCATCTCAGAAGTGATAGTATTTTTAAGCATACCTTGAAAATTTTACTCCTAAGAAAAGTTGACCAATCATCTGCCTTCTCCATTCCCCTCACTCAAATATCAAACCTGGACCACTGAATGACGGACCCCACCCCACCCAAAAAGGCCTTTCATTCCTACTGGAAGAAAACTGGGTTCAAATCCTACTGAGTTTCCAACTAAATATACTGTGGCCCAGAAAACTGGTAACTCCTCATCTGACCATGAACACTCAGAAAGAGAGACCTACAAGCAGGGGTGAGCCAACTTCCAAGGTCTATTTCATTTTTTAGTGTAACCACCAACCTGGGCCCAGTCAAAAAGGCACACAGTTAGAATGGCAGAATTCGTTTCGAGTACCAGAACTGAACTCAGTTCCTCTGCACAAAAAGCCCCGGCCTTTAGTTTCCTTTGTTTCAGCAGTTCAGTTGAGGCGTGTGGGAGTTTTGTTTGTTAACACAGCTGGCAGATGGACATCCTGGCCGATCTGCTCTAAATCACTCAGAGAACTATTAGTAGATCAAACCCTAGCTTTTGCCCAGTCCAACCTGTAGACAGTCATTCCATTCTAGAGACTGTGACAAGATCTAAGAGGTGGGCTCAATCGATTAAGGGATCTATGCTTCAAAAAACAGTCAGGCCTGTGCCAGAACTGTGTATGAGGCTAAAATTTAAGATGCCTCATACATCTTAATGTCAACAAGGATTATATACTGATTTTAGCCAGGAAGAAAAGATGTTTTTGCCCTGCATAATCAAAGAATCAAATGAGTCAGATAAGAAAGGTCATTCCAGGTGGTGAGGGTTCTTACCACACCGCATGATGGAAATATGCATGCAGAGTAAAATTCCTCTTGGGCCCCAAAGCTTTTCTTAAGGAACTGTGATGCTGAATGAGCCAGGGAATCTTTATTGAAACGCAGTGCTACAAATAGTAGCGTACATGGGAAAGGCGACCGTAGGAGCTGTTTTCAGAAAGGTGTTCTGCCACTGGTTCATCCAGTCTTTCGCTTCAACAGGTTCTCCCACATTAAAAAATGAAAGGTCTCACTAAATGAGAATATTCACTAAATGGGGAAGCTGCCTGTCCCCATCCCCTTTCCTGCTTATCAATATTAGACAGGGCTCATGGTTTACAGAGTATTTCCTCCAGCCTCCACCACTTTACTGATTGAGAAAAGAAAAAGAAACAGTATCTCAAAATAGAAAACATTACTATACTATCTCTTTATCAGAGTAGCAATAGCCAACTTCCTCTGTAGCCTGAACAGTAATAATCTGACTGGCCAGACTGCTTGGTATATGTGTGTGTCAAGCCTTCCCCTTTGCCAGGGCATCATTCTCAGCCCTTCAGCTGCTTGGCTAGGGAAGTCTATAAGTGAGTATCCAAATCAGAGGCTTTGGAGGCAACTCCACTTCCTGCTGCAGTGCTCCTCCCAGGTGAGAGGAAGCACCTCATGTAGCCAACCTAGCAGAGGGGACAGAGAAGGCCAGGTGGAAGGGGGCTGATGCACCTGCTAGCCATTCTTGCGCCAGTTAATCTGCTTTGGTACTGTAAGGCTGTTTATAGCTGGAAAGGGCCCAAACCGCACCATATAATGTACTTACTGATCATCTGGCAATGTCTTTACACCTTCAACATTGACAGTTAGAGTTTGGTTTGAACCTAAGATTTTGTGCAGTGATTCCACAAGCTGCTGCTGCTGACTTCGGATCTCCGCTTCCTTTTTATTGAAGACCAGCGCTACCAAGCCATCCTCATCCTTGTTGTTGGGCATGCAGCTGTAGCCCACAGCCTGAGAAAAAATCACAGCCCTGTCAGTTGAAAAAAGGCGCCCGAGCTTTTCCGACATCAGCACAGCGCTGGAGAAGCATTAAAGCCAACATTGCGACACAGGAAGGAGGTTGTCTCAAAATTCATTTATTGCAACCAGCTAGCCAAGCAATTGCCTTAAATCAGATGACCTATGTACAGAGATACTGCGGGCTGACCATACCTTGAACCTGCAGAATGGGTTTTCCTGGGTGAATTCCACTGGAGCAATGTTATTGTTGAAATATCCTTTGCCAGTACCCCAAAATGCCTGCAGCTGATTCCACTTGGCCAAAATCGCATCTCGCTCATCTCCCAAAAGCGTGGGTGCAGAAAGGGCACTTGCTGTGTTTATCAGCTGATTGGACTGGGTGGGCACCTGAGCAGGTTGACTGAAGAGGCTTCCTAGCGCTAAAATTGGACAAGAAAATAGACGTGATGTACACAAAAATTAAATCCATCAAAACAATCCCCCTGCAAAGCGACCACCATTGCCTTTTCTAATTATTTTCCAACCCACAGAAGATGCTCTGCCCTAGCACATATTTTGAAGAACAAATATGGCACTATGTTCAAATTTAGATAAATTTCTGAAGAGTTTAATTTGTGCCACTGATCTCTAGAAAGGCTTTTAATTGTCAAGGCTCAGCTGCCAAACCTAAGCCTAAGAAGAGATTAAAGAGGTTCTGAAAAAGTATGCAGAGTCTTTGCACACTAGTAATTAGGGGGAAGGACGTCAAAGTCAGAGGCCAACTTTCTGAGACAGGCTCAAGCATCTATATACTTGCTAGAAATTAAGGGACACATTGCAATTGGCTCTTGATACAGAAAGCAAATACTTTTTTGTTAAAAACAATAGGTGACATATGCAGCACATAGGAAACCCTATTTAACTTTACGCACCACCATCCCCAAACATGGGGGTGCAAAGAATATGCAAAGCTGACTCACATCCTCCCTAGACCTTTTTGGTAGGGTAGAAGGAAAAGAGCTTAAATGTTAAATCTCTGAGGTTCAGACTTCAGACTTTTGAAGTAATGAACGTGGTAGTGTGTGCAGTGGTAGAGGGGGATGAGAAACCAAGCTAGTTGGGTGGAAATCTAAGATAAATGAATGAAAAACTCCCTCATATTGAAAGACGAAGGACATGAATCCAGCACACTCAATTCTGTGAATCAGGGATCAATAACAGAACACGCTAGGGCTGAAACCATTCTCCTGAAGGGTACCATCAGCTGACCTGCTCTCGACCAGTTGCCAGTCCAGAGGCAGGGAGATGGATGGAACGGTGGCTGTAACACCAGGACCTTGTAAGAATTCAGTTTAGGATGGAGGAGGTTAGTCTATTATTCTCTCTTCCAAGTAGCCTTCCTGTAAGAAATAAGTTGCTGTCCAAGGATCTATATACTATCTGACTTAACAGTTATTAGATTTTCATTGGTGCTTTCAGCAACTATTTATGCACAGTATTAAAATAGCCTGACAGGAATTAAGATGTTCCCTTGAAATTACCCACTGGGGTAAAGTCCGCAAATTCCACATTTTTGCCAAAGAAGCTGATACCTGGAAAATTAGGGGTTGGGGAAGCGCACTTTCCCTCTGGCTACCAGCAGGGCAACCAAAAAGGACAGGAGGAGGTTGCAGCCCTCCCAGGGAAGGGGGCTCCAACTCAACTCCCAGAGGTTAGGTAAAACACACTGTGAAAACACTCAGCCTTGATATGCTTACTTGGTTGCTGCTGCTGTTGCTGCTGGGTGCTGAAGCCACCAAATCCCAGACCAGTCCCCAAGCCTGTCCCAAGGCCAGTTCCAGTGCCCGCTGCTGTCCCAAAGCCAGTACCAAATCCAAAGCCTTTATTCTGGGCAGCACCAAACAGCCCTTGAAAGAAGAAAAGGGATTCAGCACGGAGTGAAGATGTGCACAGATTCATTCTCAAGAGAAGCAGGCGTTAATTAAAAAGACAAACACACATTCAGGACTGCAGACTCTTACCAGTGGTGCCTGTGTTGGCAGGAGCTGTGAAGCTAAATGTCGATCCCCCCGTGGTGGTGGTGGTTCCAAACCCTCCAAAGGCCCCTGAAAAACCAAATGTACAAATCAGAACAGAAGGCCAGATTCTTGCAAGGCAATGGCTTGACAATCACATGCTGGTAAGTTTTTAGGGAGGGAGATGACGACAAACATTGGCGATGTGTGAGAATGAGATGTTTCATCGCATTGTTTAAAGTAGAAACTTGTGCAGAGAAAAAGTAACTAGCACTATTTCAACTTTATTCATCTTGGTTACATGTATTTTTGGAAAGCCTTATTGTTACTAGCAGAAAAAACACATTGTAGCCACATCGGATGGAAGGAAGAGGGACACTTCTTCTCTGCATACACATCAAGATGCTCTATGATGACTCAATTGCGCAGGGACACTGCCTTGTGGGCCCCCTGCCCGAACTCATGGCAAGCATGATGAAATCCAGAATTGAAAGCTGTCTCCCAAGCACTCCCATCTCATCAGACCACACCTTTCCAGTCCTGGAGGAAACCTCACAGTATTTCCCAACCAAGCCCCAAGGTTCTGGGGTGAAGCAGCCCAGGACCAATTGTGGCTCCTTCCTCTGCCTCCAAAGGACGCTTACTCATCATCCTGATGTCTTGAGATGCTGTCACTCTGTTTGACCCTATTGCAATCAAATTCCCTCTCATATCAAATCTCTACAATACTGCTAATCTTTCTAAAAGACACAGTATACAGAAAATCCCACTCTTTTCAGCCACTTCGGGGGCAGGCAAAAGGCCCATACTCAGCCTTTCCAAAACTCTGTTTCTGTATTGAGACCCAGGACCAGATCCATGGGTTGAGGCCCAGTTGCTTCACCTACTCTGGCCAACACACTAATGTGGGGTGCCTCCCCACCAACACCCGCTTGCCCTGCCCCCATCCTCTGCAGCTGGGGACACAAGGAAGGAGCAAGGGCTGCCACTCTCTAAAAGATTATATTTGGTGTCATGCATGAGAACATTAGTGTGCATTATGTGGTATACAGGTTCCATGGATGTATACACAGGCAAATGTTGTTCAGAGTCTTCCAAATTCTTTTTGCATGGTGGAATTTCTCCTCCTCACACACCCAGAAAGGCAGAAGAGAACTGATTCAAGAGCTTCAACAGCCCCAGGAAGGAACACACGAAGTCATTTGAATTAGTTCAAGGGCTCTGGCCTGCCACAGGCCACTTCGCCACAGCAGCCACTGTGCTATTTATACCAATCTAGTTAACCTGTTTGAATAAACACCACAGTTCATCAGTGGGTCATCTATGAAGTGTCGGTGTCAAATGCACAGGTTCAGCCTGTCTAAAAGCACTCTCCATCAGGCTTCCCCAGCCCGGTGTTTCCTGATGTGTTGGGCTACAAATGCCTGGGGCGTGCTGGAGTCGAAGCCCAACACAGTTGGAAGGCCCCACATCAGAGAAGTCTGCTTTAAATCGTTAGCTCTATTATGCATCTATCAGAATTCACAGTCCTTGCTTGCACATGACAAGTCTGGACTTCAGCTGCATTTTTAAAAAAATATCTAACATGATGATGCTACCGTTGATCCACTATGCGCTGTCCCTTCCATGTATTTCTTTGTACACAAATTGTAGACTGACAAGAAAGCGGTAAGGAAGTAATGCAGAAACCATTCAGAGTAATAATAAAGCCATTATGGTCAGTACCTGAACAAATGGTTTCTTTAACACCTACGATGAGAGTTTCACCATAAAAAGTACTGAAACTATTGTGTGTTACGGTACGAAAACAATGGGACCATGGAATGGATATAATTTCATATACGAGCAGCTGCAAGATTATGAATAAATACATTAGAAAGACTGAATATTAGAATACTAAGTATCTGAATCAGGCACATGCAGGTATGAGACGGTATCAGTGCCCGACCATTTAAAGTCAGCAAAAATTGGGGTATTAACTTGATCCTCTATAAATAGCTTTGAACATTTAAACATCACAATGTTTTTGTGAAAGCCACCATATTTCTTTAAGTCCAGAAATAAAGATGTGATTTTTGTGGGGGGCTGATCGTATAAAATTTGTTTTTCCACAAAACCTTGATGACTGAAATCCAATGAGGAAATGTATGGAGGGGGAAAACATACAGTAGAGTCCAAGAATTCATGTTATGCGAACTGTCTTTTTAAAGGTTAATTTTGCACTTGTTCAATACCATTTCCTAATAATCATAATTGTATAACCTTATTTACTGTATGTGTGTGAGTTATTTGGCTTGGACTGTTCAGATGCTAAGCCACTTGCGGTCATTTTGTTTGGCTGATTTGTTAACCCAGTCCTGATCTACATGGATCCCAGGCTGATTCACATTTGTGCGTAGCCTCAGAGTCACACAATCTCCAGGTGAATTGCAAAAGAAACTGGAAGTCTACATCCTGTAGTACACAGAGGCCACATGCATGAGAAGATGTTTGATGGGAGGCATAAGTGACCGTGAGCATTCTGGGTGGGCATCTCCTGCATGTCTGGAGACAGGTGCTTCCTTCCACACCGAAATGAATAGGTCACCTCTGTGTATGCATCTACACCTTTAATGCAACTGCTAGAGCAGGAGGTAAGTTTCTTCACAATCACTCAACAGAGTTGACAGTTTAAGTATTTCAGACACAGACTTGCAGAGTCTGCTGAAAACATTAATTTAAAAGCTCACACACTACTTGGAAGGAGGACCTGTGGATTTTAATGGAATTTGCTGTCAGGTGTAAATTGTCTTAGACCCCGGAGGCCTAAAGGGAATTCTTGGACTCTTTTCCGCAACAATGTCATTATGATAAGCACATTATGCACATTCTGTACCTGCACTGGCCAGACTGTTACCAAAATTGAATGGTGGCGCTGAAGTAGTAGAGACACCAAAATTCCCAATATTAAAATTCACTGCAGGATTAGCTGTTAATCCGAAACCCCCAAAATTAAACCCACTGGCAGTGGAGTTTGCTGTTTCAAGCCCACCAAATCCTGATGAGCGGGAAGCAGAAAGAAAGCAAGGCAATGTTAGTGAGATATCAAACATCTGAGAAGTAAAACTATAACTGATCAGCAGAAATGAAAAAAACACAGAAGCACAGGGATGAGTAAAATTAATAGATATCAAGCAAGAGTTATTGCTTATAAGAGTGCTCTTCTGCTTTTAATTGTATAAGACAAATGAAACCATTATTGCAAAATATTAGTTCAGATGCTGCACCAAGTAGGTTAAAAGCACTTCCCTAGAATGATGTCTTGACTGACCAATATTTCAGATCATTTGATCAGTGCTGGGCTTTGCACTAATCTGATATTTAATATTCTGTAGGTACAAGGCCATGACCAAGTACAAAAACTTCAGAAAAGACCTGCATTTCCCCCCACCTAACTCATTATCTTTCTATCATCCATTTTGCATTTATAGAGGGCTTTCTGAGAGTTCCATGTGCTTCACGTACCTCAGTGCAGTAATCCTTACCAACACACCTGCATAACTTGTACACCCAAGCCAAACAGAGCAACATACCATGCCTGTCAAGTGGTACACAAGCATCCATCTTCTGCAGTCCCAAGCACTCAACATGAATGATAATGAAGTTTTTATTCTTAATTTTATAAGTGTTTTTATCTTTATATATGTATTTTTATGAGTCTTTATCTTTATTGTAAGCCACCTTGAGGCTACTGTGGTAGTGGCATATAAATGAAAATATAAATACATAAATAAATGACTTTATCAAGTTTCAATAAACCTTACACATCCTCCCATTGATCTATCACACCCCACAGGAAGTGTTAGCCATGATAGATCACACGTTGTGCTTATTTACCTTAAAGCAATCCTCTAAGCAATATCAGAATTAATCTCACATTGCAGTTGGCTGCTGAGGCTAAGAAACAGTAGCTTGCTGAAGGCATTCATGACAGAAATAATTTGAACATGAAACTTTCTGGCTTATAACTCACATTCTTAACCAACTTTCCCCAATCATGTGCCTTCAGAGTGTTTTGGCATCTCTCATCTTGTACACCCAATATGTCCAGAAGCTATTTTGGCTAGAGATAATAAGAGTGGTGGTCTAACACATCTGAAAGGCACTGGGTCAAGGAAGGCAGCTCTTAACTATAACACCAGGCCTCACAACTTACACAGACACTGTCCTCCCTAAATTACTTTGCTAAATTAACTTAGCATGCAAAGACTTTAATATTTTAAAACTCTGCTGGCCTAAATGATGCAGAGTACAATTCTATGCATTTTTACTCAGAAGTAAATTTGTGTTATAATGGAGCTTACAACCAGGTAACAGTACCTTGAATTTCAGCTCCATAAATTTCCTAGGCTTGGTGCACAATGAAACATAGGTAGCTCACCAGCATTTCTGAATCCAGATTCAGATTCTGAAGATTCAACATACTATTCACCAGTTACAAGGAAATGCATCATAATAATTTCTCAAATTCTCAATAGCACAGTCCCTTCCTTTCCCATTAAAGGACCAAAAACAATCAAACTTGCCTCAACATAGGCAGAATGCAATGTTTGATTTCACTTGTCTTCAGGGAAAAAACCCTGTGTTACTGATCTCAATTTAAAGATAATTAAGTAAGATTGAGAAATATTAGCTAGAGCAACTACTGCTATGTTCCAATTGGCTGCTAAATGAGAGATGGGCAGTGTTAGGTAATGGTCAGTGCAAAATATATGATCTGTAGTGACTTCTATGACTAACTTCTCACCCAAACTTCAAAAGTTATTAAGTGGTGTAATCCTAACAAAATATAGAAGCACTACCAAAATACAGTATTATCTGGTAAAAGACAATTCATATACAACTCCTTGTATTCATTACTCTGTTTTGCTACTGACATGATGGCAAAACAACTACATTGGTGTGAAACTCTCTTCTGCACCAATTCAAGAGGAAGGTTGTACTATTATACACTGACTATACTAAAGCCAATTGATCATTCTTCTTGAAGTTAATATTAATTCTAAATATTAGAAACCTATTTTGGAAAGGTAACTTTCTGATTAATAGAATACTGGCAACATCTAATGCAGTTTTTCTACCACAGTAACAGTTTCCATTAGATTGTCAGGGAGCTTGGAGACTGCAAGGAAGGAGAGCAAGGAAAAAAGCCTGGTTGCACAAGCAAATTTCCACTCGTGGACTGCTTTATTCCCCCTTGTATGTCCATTTCTAGAAAATTACAGGTTTCAAATTCTGAAATGCTGCATGGTAATAAATCGACTCCTTTCTAAATGGGCCTTTCCTAAAATTTAGGCGTTTCAAAATACGTGGCTATCAGCAAAATAGACTTGCTCTCCTATCCTCCCCGCTCTCGGAGTGCATTTGTTCTGAAATAAGCGCCTCACAAAGCTCTTCGGCAGCGACTCATGACGAAGACGCGAACTTGCGGGGCCCCGGAGACTCGCGCGGGAGCTCGGGCCGCGCCCTCCGCTGCCCTCGGGCGCGGCGAGCGCCACTCCTGCCTCGGGAAGGGGAAAACGCGGGCAGCCACGAACATTCCTTCGCAAACCGTAAGCCAGTTTGCTCGTGGCACCCTCCTACTGAGGCGTGTGGCCACGTAGTCTGCGGCCATCCTCTTTCTCTGCTCGTGATGACCCAAAGCGGAAATAAATACTTCGGACTGAGCAACTGACTCGCCGACCTCGCCGGAATTTTAGAGCCGCGCCGTCGGCAGCTGCGTGGCAGACAAACATTCAACAGGTGCAGCATCCCCGCCCTCCCCCCGCACCCATCGCCACAGGAGAACTCCTGCTGCCCAGCGATGGGGCTTGGGAAGGGGCAAATCCAAGGAAAGCACTGACACAGCCCGCCACACTCACCCGCGGGGTTTGGAGCGGCTGCCCCACCGGTAGTTGTCCCGAAGTTGAAAGCCATGAGGCGAGAAGAGGCGCCGCGGCGCAGCAAAAGCAAGAAGATCCGGCCGATATTCGCGTCCGGGTGGAAACCGAAAGCCTGAAGGGAAGGGCCGGGCTGGGCTACAGAGATAGAAAATAAAATTGTATGCAGAGATCATTAATATCGGACGTGGCTCTCTACAAACGCAGAAATGCGCCGGCCCATTCCTCAGGCTCCCAGTGGTGAAAAGCCCATTGTTTCGCTTATGCTTATGAAAGTCAGACTGGAAAGCTAGCTAACATTTACACCCAATAATCCGATTGCGATATCAGCGGCGAGTCACTCTATTTTTTCTAGCTCTATGGGACAAGGTTCTTCTTCCTCCCACCCGGACATTTAAAAGGAGAGCACTGCTTCAACGCCTAGTTGCCTTGGCAACCGGACGGAGCGCGCGAGAACCCTGTGACGCTTACTGATGATGTCATGGTCACGCTCCGTGCCCTGCATGTGATCACGCTCATTTTGCGTATTGATACTTTTTCAACGGGGAGGGCAAGTTCCAGGAATACGGCTGGTGTTAAAAGCTCGTCTGGAAGCACCCGTTGTTGATCATATTGGGTTGCATCCAATGCTTGTGTTAAGCCTCATTCATTTCAATCGATCTGCTCTAGCTAGGACTAACCCTGCTAACATCCCATTGAATGGGTTCAGACAACGCAGTAATGCATAGTCAACAATGTGCTGCTGGCGAAATACGGGCTACTGTATTGTCTGGGCCCAACTGAGAACAAACCGTGATGAACCTGTATTTCACAACCCAACAAACCATGGTTTCCTGGGTTATGATTAACAACCCATCCCTTGCTAGGACAGCTGGCACAGATGTGGAGAGATGACAATTCAAACTCAAATACTGAATTCTGGAGTGGCTTATTGTGTTTTCTAAAATCAGTTGTGGTTTTCTGTTCTTTGTTGCCTTTGGAGAGGGTGACTGAATGATTGTATAGGTGCTTAAAATAAAGTTCTGTGGATTTTATGTATCTGCTAGAATAGGCCATCACCACTGGGGGACTGCTGAGTGTGTTCTTTCAGGGTATCCAAATGTATATTTGGACAGGAAAAAAGTCCTCCAATTCCCACCATGTCCCAGCCAAGAATGTTAGAGGAGATATAGGACTTTTTCTATCTAGATATACATGGGTGAGCGGCCTAAGGTGCAACAATTTTGTGGGTTTCCTATGTAATCGGTTTGTGGGGTGTTAGTGCATGTACTGGTACTATTGTAGGCATGTAAATTTCACTATCTGGAGGTAACAAATCCAAATATTAAACTAGTGATCAGACAAAGTGTGCAAATGCTTATGAGGCAAAATTAACATACATGGCTAAAAGAAAGCAGGTTGAATCCATTAATGAATTAAGTATCCTTTATTAACATGTGCAATATCAACTGCATTTTAATCCGTGTTATTTCAGTATGTTCAGACATTAAAAATGCAACAGAAATCTATAAGCTTCGGCTATTAAAATTTAATAAAAACAAAAAATACAAGTTGGAGAAGAAGGCTAAGTATTCAGTGGGATTTGCTTCCTAATAAGTGCATGGGATTACAGCTTTGCAGTTTTATCTTACATGTGTATACACAAGAGTCTCGGGTACCTTGATAATAGTCTGGCAGATTTTCCAT